TTATTACCATGGATGAATCTCCTTAGGCCAGACACGTGACACGTGATATAATAAAGTTGACTGATTTGAAATTGAATTGAATTGTATAGTTTGAGATATGATACTTTAAGATATTTCGTACTTGATTTGGTATGCCTAGTGAAGTTTCGATTCCATTTGGGTCTCTTGACCAATTTTCACACTTTGGTTGTGCTACTACAGATTAATACACTTTAAATAAACAAAGATCAGCATAATCAGACAAATTTTATTCAGTCTGTTAAAACTGATGCCATGTAGGCTGACTGTATATCTCACAAGCAATTGCTTTGATCGATTTTTATTTATGTTTTTACGAAGTAATAGTAGCAGTGTATGGAAAGTCAACTAGCTTGGTGTCATTTTTCACAGTTCCATCCATCATATGTTTATATTTTTATACAATAAAATCGATCCATATCTTTCGGATTTGTACGATCATTATTTTAATGTTGGCTAGAAGAAAATAAAGAGTCAACGCGCAAGGATTAATATATTACAATATTTCCACGTGTAATGGATTGGGGTGTAATAAAAACTATAGGTTAAACGGAATGTAAGAGGTCAGGGACTATAGTATTAAATATAAATAAAATGTTGCCGGTTAGCGTACCAAATATACAAAAAAAATTTATGCAGAGAGTTCTATAGCAGATAAGCTTCGGTGTTTCCTTTCAGTCATTCTCGCATTTCGTGCAAAAATGTATAATTAAGGATTAAATTGATTACAAGATACGGGCGTCTGTTCTGATCGTCACTCTCGGCGAGATGCCAGATTGAAATCTCGCTGGAGGAGAATACAAAGTTTTTCTAAAGCTTCCACTTGATCGCGCGTCGTCGAAGCTTATTTTAGGCTTTGCTAAATGCGCTGACATAATAAATCTCAAGCGTCTAGTCTATGTCTCCGTTATCATCAGTGGCGTATCAATTTAGTTTTGAAGATCTCCCCCAGTGCCTCAATAAGGAAGTACCTGTATATAGGGTGTTCCGTGAAATGGTGGGCAGTATGAACTTTTTATACCTGGAAACAAAAAGGTTTTAAATTCAGATTTCTCTAAAACCGCTTAGTATTTAATATCTCATATTTCAGACACTGTTCAACCGATTTTGTTGAAATTTTGACAGTAACAAAGTTACCTAGGAGAAACGTAAAACTGAACGGACGGTTGAATATTCTAGGGCCAGAATCGCTTTTTTGTGGTGCTGATTAATAAACAAAAGTAGATTGATTGTGCCTCTTTTTTATTCAAGTACCTTACTTTTAGCAATTAAGTGACAGAAAATTTTAAGGGTTTTCAACTTGGATTCATGTAAATTCCACGAAATAATGCTTTAATTTCAAGTATAGATGTTTTGAGAACTACCGATTGCAGGGTCGGATTCAGTTTTCCATTTCTTTGTATCTTATCAAGTGCAACGCCCTCTAATTTATACTCTAAATTTATCACCATTTTGTAGAAGAAAAACAATTCATGATATGCATAATAGGGAAGTTAATGTCATACGCCCTATTTGCCTTTTTCTGCAATATTTTTAATAATTTAGTTCTACTATCTGATATTGTACAAGATAAGTTCAGTTTAAAAAGGAAAAGGCGCTTAACATGCGATTACTGAATTTGACTATCAAGATTTCAAGTTGGTCTTTATTAAGTAAAAAATCTACAAAAACGTAGTGTCCAGGTTCGGACATTTAATTGTGTGATATACCATGTGTGCATTATGTTGCGTAAGGTTGTAGTGAGAGCACGTAAATGTAACTATGCTTAAAATAATCTTGAATTGGTCTGAAGAGTAAAATTCAGTGTAATTGCATACGAAATACCGTTTCCCTTTAAATCAGGACTCATGTTGTAGAATTAAGTCATTGAAAAATTACTGAAAAACACTAAATAGGGTGCATAATATTCATTTTCCGTTTTATCTATAGCTTGTATTACTCTTTTTCGGTGGGTTAATAATAAAAAAACCAACCCGTGCAACTTTGAGTTCTGTGTCACAGAAGCCGCTAAAAAGTTGAATAAATGAGCATTTTTACGTAAGACCTGGCTTTTTTGAACATAGACGATTTTTTCAAGAACAGAAAAGTGAAAAAAATCGAATGCAGTTACTCATAAGGACCTCTGTTATTTTGCTAAATTTCATCAAAAATCAAAAACCATTTCACCAATTTCCGTCGGTATGTCTGTCGGTCTATCTACTAGTCTGTGTCTGTCCGCTAGTCATTGGACCCTTTATAGCTCGGAAAGTACCGCTCGGATTTTGATGAAATTATGAAACAAGATTACTACCGTGCCACCGAAAAAGTTTTATATGTTTTGAACATTATTAGACATATTGCACCTTACATTTGCCCTAAACACTAAAATATTTTCAATACCTGCATAACGCTGTTGACTGTGTGGGAACTGGTTACTAACTATTGTATGGGCCTACTTGACTGACTAGATTCACTTAATTCGTTTGTTAGATGTGTTCATATTCCACTATTTCCTATGAGGCTAATGAATGGATGAATTATGAAATCAGAGGCATATCGGCCGCCGTGAGGAGCCGGCGAATAGGCCATTTAGCACTTAACCCCCCTACACCCTCAACCCTCGCCATTCTAACAAAGTTGGCCTTGAGTCCCAGCTCCTTAACATTCTGGGGGTCCAAGGTGATGGACCCCAGTATAGTCTGCCTGTAGTAGCTCAGAGCCTCACAGCGACATAGAACATGCGCCGAGGACTCTACCTCTACCCTGAAGCCTCAGCCACCCCCCATCACGTGCAGATGGCGCCTCAACGTGTTATGGCCAGACAATAGTCCCTCCACCAACCTTAGGTTGGCTCTATCCAAGGATAAGACCTTAGCGCTGAGCCGTACTGCTTCTCAATTGCTGAGAGTGTTGTCTTGGAATCCACTTCTCTATTTACCTCCTAACTCTTTGCGTGGGCACCCCTAAGGCTGGCTCAGGACCTACGACCTATGAGGCTAACCTAGGACGAAACATTAATGAACCGATGACAACGTTTCGTGGAAAGTGCAGAGTGAATCCACTTGATGCCATCTTTATTAAGTTATCTTTTTTAATCAACCAAAACTATCGTAAACGTACTAACACTGTTATTTTTCAGACAGTTGTTACATATACTGATAAATAGCTACGATGATATTGTGGGAATAGAAATTGTTAGCTACGACCAAAATACACTTAATAATGAAAATACCACTAATTCATTTTGAAAATGTATAGACATCAATACGTTTGAAGAATTGCATTTTAAAAGTCGCCCCAGTAGAGGTGGGGGAATAATCCAACACTAATAAACGTTATCCTGTCAGAAACTACCTCCCAGGTTTTGATTTAATCGTCACATTAGTTTACTACCATGACAGGGAGCTTTACTTTCTGAAGATTTACTATGAAAGCTTTTTGAAGCTTTTGTTTTTGAAAAATCCTTGTTATGAAAACTAGAGGTTGGGGAGAAGAGTTTCAAACTTTTATTAACGAACAGGTAATCCTTTACTTGAGTAGTTTTGAAATGTGAACTGTAATTACTACAACTATCATTTGCGATTGCAGTAATTGAGAAGAGTAAGGTTATAATTATGCCATCAAGACGAGTCTATGGACATATGTTAAAGTTCGTTTGGACTGCAGTCTGTGAAACACAATTATTGTTGTCCATGTCCACATACATGCCATACACACACTCGAAAAACATTACCCCCGTCTGATACATTCGAGAAAAAGAAAGTTACTCTGTACTCAGTTTGATCGATGAAAGTCATACATTCCGTAGACGCGGTCAGCTTCCGTGTATTTCAGGTTGGATAATACAAGCTCATTGACTTTTCTGGTGTATGTTTAAAAAAATATATATACCATTAAAATCCGCCGCTGTATGCGGTGCGGCGTAGGTTAGTCTGGCGTAGCCGACATGATTTTAAAATACTCCCAGTTGCAGAGTCGTATCCAGCTTTATTTTTGAGTATCAAGGTCAAGTCGATAGGCTGACGCATCCCCAGCCAAACTAAAGAACAAAACAATATATGTCTTTTTCTGAACGTCTCGTCTGTATGCCAGAAATTTAATCAATCTCTGAACTAACCAGTGGCGTTCCCAGGACCGTGTACAACAAGAAAGTTCACACTTAACTTATTTTGTAACTCTCACCTAGCCAAAATTGCTATGTGCGCCCACAGGAATTTTTTCCAGTACAAACCTACGAATATGCTCCCGCAATTCTTTGAAAAGCAGAACACAGCTCCCATAGAGAATCTAAAGGGAATGTCTGCGCCCCAAAACTTTTTGAAGAGCGGGAATAAAGTATACCTGGGGCTGCCAAATATTAAAGATCCTAGAAGCAGTTTTATGACCTACAAAAAATGTGCCTTGTGGTATTTATTACATATTGAATAACACTAACCTCTCTTGGCAATAATTTAGGCGGAATTTTACTTTCTAACATTGAAACTGTAATCGCTCCTGGTTGGCATTGCATATTGTTATTCCATTGAAATAAAAATTGTGAAAACTCCCAAAATCAAGATAATTATGACTGTTTTGTCTGTCTTTAATAAAGTGTTGATACAATGTTAGTGTTATAAACAAGGTAAGGTTGAGAAGGCTTCCTCCGATCCAGCGATGACGAACTTAGGGAAGAAAAATAAAAAAATATAAATTATTTAAACTTCAATTTCTTGAGTAACAGAGGCCCCTGATTATTTTATCTGTTTTACAAAAGTTTGGTTTAATGCCACCAATAAAAGAGTCCTATAATAACGAATCCTCTAACCTTGATATCCCACGAACTAGTTACTTTACATGTGCGCAGTTAACTCTTTTTCTAAATAGAGAGAGGGCTGATTTGCTCTCGAACATAATCTTCCAGAACTAATGATAACCTTGCGTGGAATGTCAACCCGATTGACGCCATTTTTTGTGACATTATCATCGCAGGGTATTGCAAATCATCATTTAGCTTAAAGGAGTAGGAATAAAGCGTAAATGTTTTAAACAGACATAATATGCCTGACAGAGACGTGCTTCAAAGATGGTGTATGCAGCAGCAAATTATTTGGAGCTGATTACACAGTATTTAGAAGAGATCGTGAGAGTTCATGTTCACAAAAAAGTGATGGTGGTGGTTAAAAAATGTCTTCAACTCAAATTGCAGTTATGAACTCGAATCTGATGCTGAAGATCTTTGGGTATCAATCGAACATATCAACGGTATCAAATTCTTTATAAGCTGTATATATTTACCACCTAAGGATAGCATTTCATATGCCTCAGTTGTAAGCAAATTATACCAGAATGAAGGTTTTTTTCGACAAAATACGGTTTTGTTGGTCGGTGACTTTAATCTTACAAGTGTCAATTGGCAACCAGTACTTAATGACCATTTTACGGAGCCACTTGATGTTGAAGAGAAAACGAGTGCCTTACTTGACATGTTGTCGTATCTACAGTTAATGCAATTTAATAAAATTTACCATTCAAATAACCGTTTATTAGACTTGATACTTAGTAACGAATGTTCAATATATAATATTTCGAATTCGGTTTACATATTGGTTCCTGATGATAATCACCATCCTGCAATTACATTTTGTTTTAAGCATGTTTTACTTAAGCCATTAATGCACCAGAGCCGATGCCTTTACAACTTTAATAAAGCTGACAATACTTCTATAAATAATACTCTTTTGGACATAGAATGGGAAAAATTATTTAGTACCAAAGCTGTAGATGAAGCTGTATCCATATTCTATAACATACTCAATGAAACTATTCACAAATTTACACCAACATATAAAATTCGAGGAAAATACCCAATATACTTTAAACTTGAAACAATACAAACAGTTAAGAGAAAAAATAGGTATCATAGGTTATACAAACGATTTAATAATCCATACTCATACCAGATATTGTGTGACCTTAGAGCCAAATCAAAAATCTTAATTAAGGAAAACCTGGATGAATATATAACAATGATGGAAAACAATATATTGAACGACGGCCGACACTTTTGTAAATACGTTTCAAGTAAGAAAAAATGTCATGTCTCTACACCTAGTTCTATAAATCATTCAAACTATGAAGTTAAAACCGGAAGTGGGGTGTGTAATGCCTTTACTGATTTCTTTGCAAGTGTACATGTTAAATCTAAACATTTTTATTTAAGCAAGGATGCTAGTCCTATTGATGTTACCTTAATATCCATTGAAAAAATATATCAACAAATAGTGTCCTTAGAAATTAAAAAATCAATACGCCCTGACGGCATACCTCCTGTATTTATAAAAAACTGTTCCGCTAGCTTATGTTTACCACTTCACCTAATTTTCACTGTCATTAACTCAAATAGACAAGATGAAAAGAAGGTGAAATATTGCCTATTCATAAAGGAGGCGATAGACATCTTGTGGAAAATAATCGACCTATCACTAAACTTTCTATTTTCTCAAAAATTTTGAAAAAGCTGATTTATGATGCTATCTTAAACATTACAAAAAATATCATTACGGAACACCAGCATGGATTTTTCCCTAAAAGATCTGTAGAGATGAATTTGATGAGTTTTATAGAATATGACTCTCACGCAATAGATGAGAAACAGCAGGTGGATGTTATTTATACCGACTTTAGTAAGGCTTTCGACAAGATTGATCATTCTACCTTGATGGAGAGACTTGCTGAGGTGGGTGTAGATGGTCCATTATGGCAGTGGCTAGCATCGTATATAAGTGATCTTGAACAAGTGGTGACTATCAACGGGTATCGTTCGGAGGCATTCTTAGTAACTTCAGGCGTACCACAAGGTAGTCACTTAGGACCATTAGTATTTAACATATACATGAACAACCTTACTTCTGTTTTTCATTTCAGTAAATATTTGTTATATGCTGATGATCTAAAGATATTTACTATTGTTCGAAATGTAAATGACGGTGTAAAACTGCAAAGCGATTTGGAATCTCTGCAAAAGTATTGCACTGAAAACAGTATCTTTCTGAATTTAACAAAATGTCATTACATGAGGCTTACTAGAAACATAGCGAACACTATAGATTTCAGATATAGGATAGGGATGGCAGAACTGGAAAAGCTTCATGTAGTAAAAGACCTAGGGGTATACATTGATGAGAAACTCTTATTCATCACTCACGTAGAGCACATCGTAAATGATGCAAATAGAACACTAGGCTTCATAAGCAGGACATGCAGAGAATTTACGAACCCAAAAACACTTCTTTCATTGTACTACGCTTATATACACAACAAATTGATGTTTGCATCAGTAATATGGAATCCGTCTTACAAAGTACATATAGCCAGGATAGAAAGAATTCAACACAAATTTTTGAAGATGTTAGCACATAAAACTCACCAACCTGTTACAGATCATCATTATACGCAAATTATGAAACACTTCAATATGATTTCCTTAAAAGACAGAAGAACGATTTCTGACATTTGCTGTGTTCATAAATTGTTGAATGGCCTCACTGACTGTACGTATCTTTTGGCAAACTTGAACTTTAACACTCCTGATAGAACGTTTAGAACCTATCATCTGTTTAGAATATCATTCCGTAGAACTAATCTTGGGCTTAATTCCCCTTTGGTCAGGGCTCAAATAAATCACAATAATTTCTGTAATATAGATTTATTTAACATTAGCTTGACGTTCCTGAAAAAGGCTTTGAAGTATGAGTACTACAGCTCTATGGCAGGCTAAAATAGAAATGTTTTATTTTGTTTACATAACTCAAGTTATCACCTCCAATATCATTTCTGGTATAATTTCAATTCAATTTTGATTTCAGTTTTTATTAAACGTAAGTAAATGTTAAACTATGTATACTCCTTTTATTAAAAATGTTAAATTAATAGTTTATTGCTTATAATTAGGACTAGTCACTCAGTTTATGTTGTTACAACAATATCGGAAGATAAAAAAAATAAGTATTCAGTAATGTAATATATGTTTATGTATACGATATTTTATGTAAGTTTAGTTTTAGTTCACTGAGGGTGTGTGTTGGGTTTACCTGTTAACACCCCAAACTGTATATAAATAAATAAATAAACAAATAACGACGTCTACCTCGTTTACGGGAATTTCGGTTAGCTTACCCCACTTCGGATTTAACTCCCTGTTGCGCTGAGATAGGTAAACCTAACATCCAGAATAATGGAAGAGGACAGCTAACATATTAATTTATGCTTTTTCCAGGAGACTACAGAGACTTGAAGCTACCGCCGTCGGAATTTGAACGGGTGACAGACCTTTTGCGCAGTAGCCCGGAGTTCACGATTTCCGCACGACTGAAACAGGACCCCGGGAATACGGGGTCAATCGTGTCCTTCGCGCATGGTTCCAACAGGTACTTAGAATTACAATCCAGTGGCAGGAAGAACGAAATTCGCCTTCACTACACCTCTAGGTGAGTTTGTGTATGGTAAGTCATAACTGTCACTAAGCACACAACTTCAAACAGTTATTGAGTACCTAGATGTTCTGTTATTTATTGTTCTTGATCCGTTTATGCCAGACGGATTACCTTTGAAAAGCCCAACAAGTGGATATTTTTTGAATTGGCTAACGTTTCTAATGGAGGTGTTACAGGATCCCGTGCACAGGGTGTTCCTTAATGATATGCGAATATTTAAGGGTGTTAATCTACATGAAAAATTAATGTCAGTTTGCTTTATAAACTATGGTCCAAAAATGTTTCCTTACAAAAACTCGGGTTGTTGAAGTTTTAGGAAAAAAATGGAAATTAATTAATATTTTCAGAACCGCTTCAGATATTTCACTGATATTTAGTACGTAGTGAAAGTTAATAAAGTTACATTTTTTTCAATGCAAAAATAGTTTTTAGCTTTAACAGTGGCGTGCATGCGGGTATTGACTTCGACATTTTTTAAGAAAAAAATGGTGTAAAAATGATTTTTTGCCAAATAGAAATTATTTTTGAATCCCTTGTTCAATTTAAAACAAATGATCTCACTTGAATTGTTTGCCTTTGATGCGTCATTTTTGATTAAAAAAATAAAAAGCTTTCTATTGTCTAACTTGCAAAATTATTATTAATTTAATTGGAAAAATTAAACACATTAGGGGTAATGAACAACAACAACTGACAACATAAACATAACATTAGAACCAACGAAGTAATTACAAATTGAAAATTGCCCCCTTCACTTAGTATGCATGCTTCCGCCCTTCCTTCTCATGGAACTGCGCACTCGTTGAAATATCCCTGGAGTGTTCTTTATTCTATCACAAGCTGTAACTATTGTTTCTCTTAATTCCTCTACAGTGTTAATGGGACCTGTGTACACTAGTGTCTTACACAAAAAGAAATCTAAACTGTTTAGGACTGGGGACCTTGGTGGCCATTCTTGGGGCCCACCGCGACCAATCCAACGATTTGGATAAACAGTTTGTAAATAATTACGAATCGCTACACTGAAATGCATTGTGGTGCACCATCATGCATGTACCACATATTGTTTCTTATTACTAATATTGAGGTAAATCTGTCCGTCAAGTCGTCCCGGCAAGAAGAATGGGCTAATAAAGTGGTTGCCAATAATTAGTGCCCATACGTTAACCGAAAATTGATGTTGGAAATGGGTTTCGGTTACGGCATAGGGATTTTCTCATGCACACAAATGATTATTGTGGAAATTCTGAATGGCATTTCGAGAAAAATTAGCTCCGACCGTGTCGACCGAATCATTGATTTAAATTGCGGATGTTCTGTAATTTTTTGAAGATATTACTGACAAAAGGTCACACGCCTTGGAAAATCAATGGGAAGTAATGCCTGTACTCTTAAAATATGGTAAGGATATAACAAAAAATTCACTAAAATTCTCCAAACAATTTGATGGCAAATATTTAAGTGAAGACTTCGTTTCAGGTGTTCTCACACCTAGAGGTCTACCTTCAGATGTTCCTCTTTGGACAGAACCAGTTTCAACAAGACGACGATAAATATTAGCAAAGCATGATCGGGATATCTCTGGTGATAAATGGCCATATACGTAATGCATTTCCGCCATTTCTGCATTTGAATAATTCACCATTATTAACAAGATTGTAAAAACTAAATAATGAAAAAGATGTCACAGCGAACAGATTTGAATAACAGAGACTTGTCAGATGTCAAAAGTCAGTGACATATTCAAGAGCAACTAGATATTTATTGCTAAATTGCATTCTTCAATTATTACATTAATTGTCTCGGACAATAGAACGCTTTTTCTTTTTTTACTCAAAAACGGCGCATCGAAGGAAAACAATTCAAGAGAGATAATTTGTATAAATTGAACACGAAATTCAAAAATAATTTTTATTTGGCGAAAACCCATTGGCGTGCCATTTTTTTCTTAAAAAATATGGAAGTCAATACCCGTACGCATGTCACGGTTAAGGTTAAAAATTATTTTTGCATTGAAAAATATGCAACTTTATTAACTTTCACTACGTACTAAATATCAGTGAAATATCTGAAGCGGTTATGAAAATACTAATTAATTTCCATTTTTTCCTGAAACTTCAACACCCCGAGTTTTTGTAAGGAAACATTTTTGGACCATAGTTTATAAAGCAAACTAACATTAATTTTTCATATAGATTCACACCCTTAAATATTCGCATATCAATAAGGAACACCCGGTAAAACAAGAATATTGATATGCGCCAGGCTGATGGAGGGCCGAAAATGGTTATTGTGTTGTTATAATAAAAATTGCAGTTAAATTCGTTTGATAAATTCTGAAAGTAAGTTCTTTCAGTGAACAGCAAAGCCTGCTGTTTCGAAACAAAATGTCCCATTGTTCTGCAGACTTTTTATCATATTCTCTTAAATCGAATTGGACTATCTGAAATCAAACTTCCAATACGGACTTCTACAGGGTGGTCCTAACGTGGATGTAGGTTTTACTCCCAGACTAAAAAGTTTGTTATAAGACTGTTTATATTTGGATAGACCCTTGAATTTTGCGCTGAAGACAATTGTCAAGAAATGTCACAAAATGTAAGGAAAAAGAGAACGACAAAAATTGCGACTTTTCAACATATACTCTTCTTATACACGGTGTTCTGTAACACATCCAATAGAAACCTCAGCTTCTTCAGAAGAAAACATCCACCTAAAACTGCATTTCGTCTTGTATAGTTTCCAAAAGCATTTAGAGTAGCAAAATGATTAATTAAATCTTCCGCCGCATTTATTGGAAAACTTTGTATTTCAATCGGACCGATTTCTTTAGCGGCTTTAAATAGCAAGTTGAAGAGCTTACGTTGAACCAGTTTAATTAAGACAATGTTTATCCACTGCGACACTAATGTTACAATGTTTTTTTCAGACTGGACAATAAAGTATATGTAGAAACCTTTAGATATCATTTAGCCGATGAGAGGTGGCATTCATTAGCCATTTCGATAAGCGGTAGTCAAGTCGAGCTTCTAGTAGACTGCGAATCGTTGTTTAAACGTCTACTGAAGCCTGGGGTGCCGGAGAGGAATTTCACAGAGCCGATTCAGTTGTGGATCGGCCAGAGAAATAACCATTTTTATCATTTTAAAGTGAGTATTTATTAATTTATTAAGAATTTCGCTGCTAGCAGTAGCCATGAGATAGTTTTGTCGGTTTGACATCAGTTTTCACTCGGCTGTCAGATTTCATAGTTTGTTGATCAAACATTCCAAACTATCAAATCTATTCTACGGCTACTGCAATTTAAAAAAAGTTAAGGATGTATGTTCTGGGACCAAAGGGGCTTGTGGTCAAACCTACGTTTGAAAACTCAGTTTGCAGAGTTTCCAAGAAATATTTTTTGTCAAAGTCCAATATATTAAGAGCTCGCTTTTGTCAAAATTTACGTAAACAATCATTTAAATTGAAGCTTCATATACCTAGGCTGCTTTTTGAAAATGACATGAGCATAGTGTTCATCTCCTTCTACGTGACATATTTCCAATTGTGTAATTATGTAAAATGACGCAGTTTCATGGACTTTGCATTTATCTGATCAAACGGCACGAAGACATTTTCTCAGGGAACCTCATTAAAACTGACGTCTACGAACAAAGACCGACAATATTCGCCGAAATGGAACAAAACATTTCTAAAGTGACTTAAAGAACAGAGCAATATTTAGATACATGCATAAGTGCTTATATTGGAGTCACCTTTCTGATATAATTTTCAAAAACTAGTCTATGTTTAAGCTTTACTTAAATATTTTTGTCCAAGCGCTTTTTAAATTTTGGTAGCTATTTCAAAATCGACCGCATTACTGTTTCACCCAGAAGAGTTCGTGCTTTATGAATTTGGTCAAATCTAGGAATGACCGACATACGTTGTCGAAGCCAGCAGATAATTTAGTTAAGGTACTAGCGTAAGCAGTATTTCTATTGCGTGAGTAGAAAATAGAGTAAAACTGATAATGAAATTATTGACGTTATCCATCCTATAGCTTATTTAAGTGCATTGAGCATACAAAGCTAGACACTTCTCTCATATAGTACATAGAAAAACGGTGAGTGACCTTCCAGTAAAATGTTAATCATGGCTCGTTACCCTGTTCCGGGCATTTGATCGAAACGAACTTTTATACTCATACTGCGCGGAAAGAGATTTGATGAAATCGTGACGTGTTGAGAAGAGTGCCCAGAACCGGACCCCTATTTTTTTAATGCTTTAATAAGTGGAATCAAGTAGTTTGACTCTGCACTGCCCACATAATTCTGACAACGATTAATCTAACCTAACGCCATGTGATTAAAGAAATCGAACAAAAACATTGCATGCCAGGGAAGTCAACCTACTTGGAACAGATTTATAAGATGCAATATAATTTTCATGATCTTTTGAACTTGTTTACGTAACGCAAAGTAAGGTGACGATATTAGTAGCTACTTATGCGAAAGTGGGACAAATCAATTCCACTTACTATGCTTTGCAATAACATTTTAGACTCGTTTCGATATCTATGAGATTCACTTCAATATTTCATGAACTTCCCAATCCCAATAAATCAATCCTAACTGCGGGCAAGTGTGGAGAGTTCACATGGACTCTCTCTTCTAAAACAGAAAGGGTGACAATTGACTATGGCCGCTGTTGTAATGTATGTGTCTATTTGATATACTCGAATAAAATCGAAATTAACTCGTTGAGATTGTTCTCCTTAGGGAAATACAATTTTCTCATGAACTTTTGTTTGCACATTCGCCATGTTTGTGAATACTTCTAACAGGTGCGCAATACAATGGTGATCAGAAACTTGTTAATAATAAATCTCTTTAACTGATACCTCAGCTGCAAATCCAAATCCCAATTTTTCATCGCTCCAAACATTGTTTTTATTGAATAGGAGTCTCTGAAACACTTAAAAACGAATATCGATTTTTAAGGCCTACAAATGTTTTTCGTCATGTCATAACTTCATCAAAACCTAAGCGCTGCTTTCCGAGATATAAGCCAAGGGCAGACAGATGGACCAACAGAAATTAGTGATATATGGTTTTTCGAAATGTACATGTCATCCAACATCAAATTTCAGAGATAGTAAATTTCAAATGAATTCTTTATTATTGCTGTTTAGCTTCCAATATGCAATTAGCCGGTACGTGCGATATTGAGATAATATAAAGGCTTTTCCATTAAGGACTTGACAACTTTCTTTTTAAATAAAACGCAAACCATTTGAGATATCTCGAAAATTTTATTATTGAATTACTATACTCAAAAAATTTATTTATGGAACTCGACCTCGTTCATATATCCACCACGGGCACGTTTGCAGCGATCGATTCGTTGAACCCAATTTTCAATGACTCGGCCACGCATTTCGACATAAACGGCCGGTATTTCTCGTTCAATATTGGCTCTGAGCTCCTCTAAGGACGCCAGCTTGTTGGAATGGACCAATGATTTAATGTAGCCCCACAAAAAAGTCTAGAGGTGTTAAATCACACGATCTAGGCGGCCATTCGACAGGACCATTTCTCGATAAAACACGTTCACCGAATTTTGATTTCAATATGTCGATTGTTTCAATCGCTGTGTGGCTTGTGGTACCGTCTTGTTGAAACCACATATCATTAACGTCTAGACCATCCAATTGACCAAAAAAATAACGGCCCAATGATACCACCGGTATGAAGTGGTGTTTCTTGAAGCACATGAGGGTTTTTACTTGACCAATAACACATATTCTGTTTGTTGACGAAGCCGATTAACCAAAACGGTGCCTCATCACTGTAGATGATTTTACGATGAAATGGCTCATTTTTTTGCAACATTTCTAGAGCCCAATTCGCGACCTTATAAAGGTGCAGGCCAAGATCTCTTCGCAAGATTCGTGTAGTGTGGTCTGAGCGATACCAAATTCTTGAGAACGCCGCGGAATCGACGTGTTCTGATCGTTTGCGACGGAAGCTTGAACAACAGGAATATTCCCGGTACTTCGACCAACCCGTTGTCTCACTGCCACGGTAACATCCAGCACCGAATATGTGGACTCCAATTTTTTTACTTGATTATGAATTGCTTGTCAACTGGGACGAGAATTACGACCAAAAAATAGTAAATTTTAATTATTTGTAAGCGTTGTTCGTTCGTGTACTTCAGCATGATGAAAATGTTTTCTTTACTGAATGTTTTGACACTGACAGTTCGGTAATTGATTTAAAGGTGATTCACAGTGAAAGTTCAAAGTTGTCAAGTCTCTATTGGAAAACCCTATATAAACGTTATTGTAAATCATAAAACTTTCACGCTCATAAGACTACACTTTCTGACACAATCAAACCACATGTATGCTTAGATTCCTGTTTATTATAAAACCTTTTGACCACCACGGTGGCCCACTTCAAGAACATTATTGTCATTGTATTTGGACAACGCAGTGGAAACGTCGTAAAATAAACAGGGATTTGAACATGTATGTGGTTTGATGCAGCGAGACAATGAAATACTATGATCATATAAACATTAGTTTACCACTACTGTCACGACAAAAAGCTGGTGGTGTTTGAACGTTTGTCTAGCGGCACATAGTCGTAATCATAAAGAATAATTGATAAAATCGTGAAAACTTTGGAATGGTGTCTCTAGGGCCCAATTTTACTAAGCAAAAAAGCACTTGGGTCATAAATCAGAAGGCGTGTTTGAAGTAATGGATCTTATGAATATGGTCGATTTCTTGTAAACTGTCTCTCAAGCTAGAGACAAAATCGACGGTTAGATGGACCCCTAACAAGAAATACGTATAAATCACTTGGCAGAGCTACAAAAACTTATTTATCCATTTGCGTCGGGACAGCAATTAAATTTGTATTTTATTGACAATAATAATTTCTCTCTGTTTCTGTACAAAATTCGACTTGATAAATTTTTTGAGGACATGAATTGAACTACAGAATCCTTATTATTCAACAAACATAAATATTCAACTTACTTGACTACCGTGCGAGAAACCCTGTTCCTTAAGGCAGTCCTGTTAACAGGGAGGTCTTGCACCTTTTACTGTGCAGTAGAACAACTACTTCTAACTTTCAAAAAATGTATTACGCAGAATTTTGTACAGCACCAGTGAGATACTGTTATTTTCAAAAAAATGCTTAGTAATGGCGTCATGTCAATCTATTGTATCAGGCTTGATCTTGATTCGAGAAGGGCACAAATGCTTTTCCATTGATGAAATTTGCCTCAACTTTTGTGTCTGAAAACGAACGAAAAATATGTTTTTGTAGCTGAATCATGTAATATAAGAAGCATTTTTTGATTTAATATGAGAATTAGGAGTCCAGCTTACACAAATAATTTTTGTCTAGTGTTTTTTTTTTCAAAAGAAATCGACAAAATTCGTTAGATCCATTACTTCAAACACTCTTTCTTATTGCTCCCATTTGCGTCAAAGGGGCAACATTTTATTTCCGCCGGTCATTAGTAAAATAGGGCCTAAGACACTTTAACATGGGTAAAAATTATTTTTTATAAAGGACAGTCCAGACTAAGCGATTGAAAGTGGTGATACTTTTTCTATATTTAGAAGCTTGATTCTGGGTACACAACACTTCTAGGAATCTTACGGCGGCTAAAGCCGTTAAATAAAAAAAACATTAATACCCACCAATCTGCCAATTTCCGCAAATTATGGTCCCTAATAAATCACTTTGAACTTGTATGCGTTCCAGAAATGTTTTGCAGCGCTCCACAGACTTATTAACTACTTTGTGAAAACACACAAACAAAAACACATTGGCCACACATAACGAATTTCAATTCAAAGAATCCGGCTTGTCTACACGTGTTCGAGAGGAAGTGTGGATTACAAAAAGCAAGAGCATGATTATATGTCTGAACATCTGCCATATTCTGAGATTTTATTGCACATGGCATACCCGCATACCTACACCAAACTTCTACCCGTTGGAAGAGATTTTTATGCGAATGCCATGGTCGTCCACAATGAGGTGAAATACTAGCAAAGAACTTCGCACATCAACGATGAAATAGTTTCGAAGCTTTGCTAATGAATGTCTACAAGCTTATTCTGCCAGCGAAAAATGCTGTGCAATAACAATGTTATAGATTGTAGATGCTTTTTACACAGTAAAATACAGAGGAAGTCGTAACATGTTTGCAGCCCTTAACCCCCAACGTTTAGCCCTACAAAGTGATCAGGCAAAAACGAAGCTTGTGCGGTTTTTATTCTTTTTTTTTGCCTTTTCTCCGCCCCCACACTACAAAGCTTTTGCGTCCTTGGCATAGTGGTAACATTGAGTAAAAATTTCATCGAAATCCCAGCGGTACTTTTCAAGTTATAGGCGATTATAAGAGTAGCGGACAGGCAGCCAGTAGTCATCAGAAGTAAAAACTATCGATTATGCCCATTAGTTGTATTTTCAGCTACTATTATGTTTTATACTACGAAGATCAATAAAAGGTAAGTTCAAAATGGTACGCTTATGTTAAGTAGGTGGTCACACTGACAGTGACAAGCATAAATTATCTGAGCTTATACTAACAAACGTTCGCGCACAAGGGCATATTACAAACAGGGTGGCCCAACGAAAAGATACCATTTGTGACTCTCCTGGTATGTTTTGGGACAAAGACTCGAACACGTCAATTTTGACTTCTAGGGGACGTCTTTTCATCTATAGCAGGGTGATAATAAGATAGATTTCTAAATGGACACCCCCATTTTTTTTTTTAGGTTTTTAGTAGCTTTTGTATAATAAAGTTTATACCTACCTATCTTCAATCGTTGCGAAGCTATTTGAGCTTATAATAAAATTCAACTAACATGAACCTAATACTGTTAATAATGGAATGCACAGCAAAAAATGATAATCATGGATACCAGCAAGAACATTTAGCATCAGTCAGTGTCATCTTATGTCATAGAAAAACTTTGTCTTTCATTTCAAATTGTTAAGTTACCTACCTAGTTGTGATAAATATTGAACAATGACTTACTGAATAAATAATTAGAAAGGGTATGTATAAGAAAACTTTATTACCAAAATGGGAGCATTGCAAGAGCTACTGCCCGGTTGTTTAATGCGTTACATCCAGACAAAAAATACGTTGATGTACTTTTTCATGATCATTCATGATGATAGGTTCTTGATTTATGTATATGTACCTTAAAAATATTCAAACACGCAAAATTAAAACATGTAAGTAATGAAAAATATTATTCATATGATTCTTTTGCTTATGTTATATACCACTAAACCTATTTCCTACTAAAACAACGCAAACAGTTTTTTTGGTTTTTCTATCATTATTATCAATAAATTGCAAAAGTTATATGATAGTTCAATCTCTCAGAAGTTAAGTAAGTCTAAAAAGCTACTTAAAACTCGTTTATTTGACAGTTTTCACTGTCGCCTGAGAAAAATATATGACTTACTAGGCTTTTGCAATTACCATTTAGAAGTACTTTTTCAGGTAGTCGTTATTATCTAACCAAAGAAGCATCATTGGCATTCCGTTTTTGGAGATAATATTTCTTCCAAAAATATGCTGTTTTTGCGGTCAATGTGGTCCATTTCAGAATTCCACTTTTATCAATGACGAGCATTTCGAGTAGTATTTTGCCATCGTTATTGTAACATGATAGCACAATATTGCTGGTCCGTCATCAACAGAACATTTGACTTCAACAAGACAGTGTGGCACTACTTGCAGCACAGCCCATGAAACCATGTTTAATGCGACAACAATTCAACATGCAGCTGATTTCTTGTTTTGGACTGATGCATTGGTCATCTAGATCTCGTTGACTTTTTTCATTGGGGCTACGTCTATATAAAGAAGAGATTACGGTTAGGAAATTAAAAATCAGCATTAATCTCGTTATTCGCTCTACCATCATTGAAAATGTTGTTAAATAAATATAGATTACGAGATACAGCTGATTGATTTTATTTGTTCATGCTTTTAAAAAAGTGCCTCTAGATGAATCACCCATTATAGTCTGAGTAGATGCTTAATGGGAGCGTTCATTTAACGTAAAATGGTCCAGCTGCGCAGTGCTTTTATGTTGGATAACAGAAGCCAGACGATACCTGTGTCGATTTTCACGTGGCAGTCAGATTTGATAGTCTGTTAGTTAATGTAACGAACTGTCAAAGCCATTCCACAGCTGCTGCTATTCAGAATAAAAGCGCTGCACCGCTGGACCACTTTACGTTATCTGAACGCTCCCAATGTCAATGTCAGTGTTCCTACGACAAGTAATATTGTAAAACCGATAGTGACATCTGATACATTTACAATCGTGGTTTTTATGGCAAAAATATCATCAATGGTTATAAGTCTATGTTTATAGGTCTAAGCTTTTACGGCCCGTCAAAACAAACACTCGTTTACCGCTTCTATTCGCTTGTCACTGCCATACCCAGGCATTCATGGCCTGCTGACCAATAAGGACGCGCAAATTTGAATGTTGCGCGGCGGTGTTTATTTTAAGTGGGCTTAGATGGGATTTGAATAGATTATGGTAAGAGCTAGATGCAATCTTTTTTTACTGGTGTAGCTTAGAAGTTGAAAGCTGTACACGAGTAAGAACAAGTATTTATTTACACAACTTCTGAGTCTTCGCTATGTTTTCAGCAATACGTTCATCATATTCTTCTTGCCTTTCTCTTCTATGACTTTGTTATAACTTTACAACTAGACCTTACAGAGCAACTGAGTGACAATATATCAATCAGAAGCAAATATCCTTATATTATGACCGACATTCGAGTTCCTATACTCCTAGTATGATAAATAATAATTTCGGTCTGTCAGACTGTCCAGTAATCCTTGGCCTGCCCATAACTTGGAAAGTACTGATCGGATTTGGATGAGATTTTTACACAAGATTGCTACTACGCCAAAGACGAAAAACCTTTTTGAATTTTGATAATTGGTTTAGCGGAGACGGCTCTTATGGCGACGGTGCCTCGGTGGGCGCTGCCGCGTCTTACGGTATGGAAATGGGCAACCTTGCCAGATTGACGGTAATTACAGTTAGGGCTGGGAACGAATGTCTACGGACTAACTTAATTTCTATATTGTACATGTTCGTAACTAATTTTGTTCTCAAAGTGTTTAACTTGTGCTAAATTTAACTCCTTATAAACTGCTGATGGCCTAGCGTAGGAAGTGCGACGGCAACCTGCTTGACGCCAATTCTAAATGGAGAAAGAGCACTTGTGAATACAATTCATTAAATAATCATACTGTAAAGATGTTAAGGGTTGACTGTATGGATCAATCGCTTACATGCGTCAACATTTCTTATATTTTCCAAAATCCGTAGATACAAAGGGTACTATAAAAGTTTTGCAATATGACTTAACAAACGGAAGCAGGAGGCTGCATGTTACTGCATGTTGAGACATGTCCATGAGTGCATAGTTGCCGCCAGCAGTACGTCTGCTAATTTATTTGTTCATTCGTATTGACAGTGTGAAGTTCGGACTATGGCATCGTGGTCACCTAAGGCAGTTTTACGGTATAACGTGTGGTTTAAGGATAGACCAGTGCTTAGAAGAAATGACGCTTGCATCAAAGAATTACTGTCCTCATCGTACGACTATACTCAGGTGGTACAGATAATTTCAAAGGGGCATTTTCACTCTGGTGGACGCTAAGAGGGAAGGAAGGTCGCAAACGTCAGTAATACAGGAAAGCATTACTGCTGTGAGAAAAATGCTTGACGAAGAGCGGAGAGTCACATACCAACAGATAGAGGAGATCTTACACCGTTCATGCACCAGCAATTCATTCGATTCTACATGACCATTTACTCGTAAGGAAACTTTGTTCTCTCTGGGTATCGCATATTCTGACGGGAGAGCTGAAGACTCGTCGTACGACTCGGTGCTCAAAGATACTGACAATGTTTTATAAGTGACAATTTCGGTATCTGAACAGCATCGTGACAGGTGACGAGGCAAAACTTTTATAGTACCCTTTGTACATCAGAATTGAAGTGTACCCGTTGTGTCATTCCGAAGGGCAAACAGGGCTAAGGTTTCCGATATTTTCAAGGCATTGGAGCTTACTTAAAATAATCAAACGCTAAGCATCTCAAATATGAGACTACAATAAATACCTATGACTCGTAGTGGCTGTCGGGCTTATATGGGAACGCCTTAATATAATCTAATCTCTTCAAGAAGTTTTAAAATTTATCAAGAAAATACATTTTTGTTATTCCAGGGCGCGATGCAAGAAGTGAGGATAACGAGTGGTCCACACGGGTATTTGTCTTCATGTCCCCATTTAGACTCGACGTGTCCAACATGTGGACAGTTCTTCCTCCTTCAAGATACCGTTCGGCAGCTCACCCAGCATCTGCAAGAACTTTCAAATAGGGTAAAGTATGATATATTGACGTTTTATTTTTATTTATATGCTATTTTGTTACACAAAATCATAAATGATTCTCAAAATATCAAGCTATTTGTTTAAAAAAGATGTAGTGAACTCCGACACAAAAAACCTGCTGAAGGTTCTGGAGCTGTATAAAGATTAATAAGAATAATCAAAATTGTTTCTGTTTTTCACTGTGAACATAACAATAAAAAAATGTTAGTGCATATACTGTCATTAAGCCCATAGAAAAGTTCATGTCTCATTGCTCCCGTGGTGCTTTTCTGAATAATGAACAATTTTTGCAGTTCTGAGCTACCTCCAGACAGCATCCTTCCATAACGTAAAATCGAATCAAAATTTAAATATTCAAGTTCCTTTCGTGTTTCAAATCTTAATTATTCTTACTCTTCGGAGTGGCAGGTTTAAACATTTTAAACATCGAATATATTTTTGTGATACGCTACAAAGCACTTAAAATCATCAATATCATTAATTCGTCGTAATCGCTTTACCACTCGTTAAAAAAAACCTAGTTTTCAAATAAACATTACAGCAATGTTTATAAACCGACTGGGCCAAAATTAATTTTCCACTACCTCGTGTATATCAAAGTTAAAGTAGCACCAGGTGTCTAACGTTTTACAAATTTAGCAAGGATCATTTCACTAGAATGTTTATTTATCCAAATAAAAATAAATCAGAGTAGATCCCAGGTGCTCTCGTAGCACTAGTTGCCAATAAATTTGCTTTTAACAAGTGCACCAGGGATGTACTCATTTGCATTTATGCGGCAATGTCGCGGTTGCATTATGATATAGTGAGGAGAACACCCAGTGATATGCACCCCATTCTGCATAATGATGTAGCTGCAACGATTTGTGCATACACTTAGCCATTTGTGATATACACGTACTGGTTGATATATGTATCGTTTTGGATTTGTCCTAAATAAACATGAAGGGCTAACAGATAACCGATAGCATCAAAAGAGTAGGTACTAAAATCGAATCGAACAGTATTTTTCTTCCATTTGCTATAGGCTGTCAAATCATCCCTTAATTCTTTTCTTTATTAGCAAAGAAGTTTTCAGCTCCCAAATGTATTAGGTGAATCCCTAATTTCTAGTTCTTATTGAACTTGGAAATCATTTGAACTTGATTTGAATTCAAGACAGGAAAAAAGAAAATAACATTACAGAATTGGTAATGCAGAAGCTGGACTCCAAATTTTCTGTACAATTATCAGCCTCCGACAAAGGCGATCGAACACGGCGATTCGCGGGCACCGCCGTTTACAGCGTCAAGCGGTAGTAAATCGACGCGTACTCCGTCTCCGTACAAGTTCGGACTTATAGGTTCTTTCCAACAATGAATTTCCATTTGTCCCGAGCTACTCATAGCAAGGCAACATCAATTTGAATAGCTGACTGTATATAGTCTCTGATATTCATAAATTGCTTGTTGGAAATAAGGGAATAATTTAGTAGAAGGATCGAATCGCTACCAGCGGGAATTACGTAATTTGTAGAAAGCATCAGGCACAAACACCAACAAGACTATACATAATAGTATAATGCATATTGAGATCCACTCACTTAGTAACCCTATCGTTATTCGGTCTAAATTGTCTCTATATTGAATATAAACATTACCTCAAAAACTGTCCGTGAAACATTTTAATGGTGGCGTATTTGAGCATAGTCGCACGCTTCACTATCTCGACGAAAAATTACTATGTTACTATGTATAATTGATGACGCCATAAATTTATTTTTTTATATCCACACAATTTTGCGAAATGAGATTTCAACTCTTTTCGAGAATCTTATAAAAAACTGCGATTTCTTCCAATTCCTCATTTTTATTTTCTAATGTTTGCTCTGAATAACTAATAGCCAGCGAAATTACAACCGCTTCTGTTGTGTTGAATTCTGAAGGAGCTCTCCTCACTTCCTTGTATTGAGTGTTTCTCGATATAGAGGGAAATAATACTGGTGCTCATTTCGAGAACTGGTAGATCATTACTAGCTATATGATTTATGCTAGTCATTCATTCTTATCCAGTAAAATTTTCGAAGATATAGTTGTCGTCACTGTTCTTGACGGATCAAAGTAAGACTATCCAGTATCCCTTTATACATCACCATCTCGCTCATACATACACGTGCAACCTACCCCTATGGGTGAACGTTTGTTCGGTAAGCTCAAAGACATACGTTTTTTAGTTGTGTGCCTCTATCTCGAAAACCTTGTCGTTACGTATGAGTGCCCTCGAATCATATTTGTCAGAGTGACAACTTACTTGACATCGGCGTGCAATTTGAATTGTCCTGATATCAATCTTCAATATAGAATTGTACAATGTCCGGAAATGCGATCAATGGAGAAGGCCGACAGCTCGTGCTAAATTTATTAGGGCATTTCCAAGAAGAGAATGAAAACAGTGGTCCCCTGTTACCCACTTCATGCGTACTGGAGAGAGTAGCAGATGCGCTGAAGATTAGTCAGCGCAGAGTTCCGCCCATGATACGGAGACTCCATCTGTTTACTTATTTCATATGGTGTTGATGACGTAACCGTCAAGAACGGTGACTACAACTATATCAGTCTATTCCTATAAAATCCGCTTATGTACACTGGGCGGTATTGTCTTACTACTTTGAAATTGAGAATTCTCCCTAATTTTACTTATGCCGCTTTGTCCAGAAGTAGTGCTAAGTGTTTTTTTTTTAATAAATAAGGTGTTCAAATCCTACACCCTTTTATGGAGCCATATGTAAAAATTCTTTGTAATGAATGAAAAATAAAAACGCTTAGGTCCACTTCTGAACAAAGTGAAATTAACTAGTGGGGTGCTAATTTTTATTGCTGGTGTAGATATCAAGCTAAGTAAGTCAGACAAGAATAAAACGAAGCAAATGCTTGGGCCTTATCGATATTATTTAACGATTAAGCAAATTTTATATTTCATCGTTACTTTTGTGTCCGCGTCCAGTATGAATTGCGGTCAGGAATACATTTTATCATGGATGAGGGTATAATGTCCACTGTTACATGCAGCTATTGGAGAAGATGGAAGGGACGAAAAAGTTTTCGAAAATCGGTTCAGTGGCAGCCGAGCTAGGGGCAAAAAAAATCAGAGGCACCTGATTATCATCAGAATTTTTTTGGAGGTTTAAAATTGGGGTTTGGATATTATAGGAAGTTGGAAGTGTTTGCATCTTCGGTAACAGTGGAATGAATTTGTTATTGAAAATACTTTGATTCCGGCAACACTACGCATTTGTTAGATATAATAGTCAAATAAAATGCTGGTATTGAAAACCATGTTCACCGCTCGCGACCGCCCGATGACACTAGCAAATAGATTTAGATCTAGAAAATCTAAAATATTGCTTTTGCATTCTTGTATCTTAAGTTTTTCGTAGCTTTTGTGTTCTAGAGAAGTATCGACGGATGCTACATTAGTTCTTTTCATTATACCTATATGTGTTTGTAGTAATGTATCTTTTTCCAAGATATATTACTTTGGCCCGCTTTTGCTTCAGCGGCTACTACAACAGATCGTTTTACTTTATATAAACAAAAATAAAAAAGGCGTGGTAATTATATTTAGTCTGCTAGAAATTTGTTCAAAGTAGGTTGGCCTATTTCCCATATGCAGTTACTTTGGTCGATTTTGTCAATTATAATTCACATGGCGTTGAGTAAACTCAATCCAACTGATAACAGAATTGTGTGGGAAGTACAGAGACAGTCTACTTGACGCCATTTTTTTGTTTATATGTCATTATATCACGAAGATTTTAAAAATCCATGTTACGGTAGTAGTTTCTTTATTGATTCCAGTTATTGGCTGCTGAGCAGCGTATCGGTCGAGTGGAGGAGTGCGACTGCCAGAAGTCGTGCCAAGTCAATGGCTCCGTTCATGCAGATGGAGCCACCTGGCAAATAGGCTGTGATATATGTTCGTGTGTGGTGAGTACTGTAAATTTATAATCACTTTTAGCATTTAAACATAGATGAAGGAGGTTCTCATGTCCCCAAAAGTTCATATATACAGGGTGTCCGCAAAGTTGGGGTTTTCCTTTACACGACGTGTAGATCTTGAAAACATAAGCAATTTTTCTTAGTACCATATACACCAATGTCTTAAGGGAACCGAGATAAAGGGCTCTGCAACATCAAAAATATCTTAATACCGTCCTGTAGCCGCGACCCGGGACATCACCGATTGGTACAAGGTCTCAACCCGACGGCAGAACTGGGTCGGGGTCAGTGTGTCAGGTCAGTATGCAACCTTCAACCGACGGTTACGGTCACGCGTGTAGAGGTAAACGAACCCATATAATCGATTGCGTTTCAAAAAACAACAAGCACTAGAGACGTGGCTAGAGAAGTGCAAGTATCAAAAACTCAAGTGTGGCAAACGCTGCGTGAAGAGGGGCTGTATCCGTTTCACGTCCAACGTGTACAAGCCCTTCAACCTGACGATTTTCCAGCAAGAGTGAGTGGTTGTTGCATCAACATGACAATAATCCGGACTTTTTGAAGTGCATATTGGTGACAGACGAATCTACTTTCACGCGTAATGGGGTGAATAACTTTCGCAACACTCATGTTTGGTAATTACGCAACATTTTGCCTTCCTTGTTTGCCTGCGTCTGCTCGGTAGCGCGTCACCTGATTTCATTTTCTGTTGGAGCGGTATGATTTCAGGCAGAGACGTACTTAGCCCTTCTCGTCAACTGGAGAGTGAGTACTTTTTCCTTTATTTTTTTTTACTTGGTCGCCCTCATTTCACTACACATTACCTTTGTTATTTCAAGGGTAGTTGTTTCTGAAAAGGAAAACCCCAACTTTGCGGACACCCTGTATATATATATATATATATAAATAAGGTCCATCAACAAAAAATACTGCACTCAAGAAGGATTTCGCTTCATGAGATAATAATGCAACGGACTATATATAGCGTAACTTAAAAGTGTCAAATATATACATACTACCTCCATTTGGGATTTAAGGCAAACCATAAAAAATTGAGATAGAGCTTCTGTCCCATCTGTAGGCTTGAGAAATAATAATTCAGCTCTCTTGAACTACTGCTGAGACAATCATTTCTTTATACAGCAGATTCGCTTACCACAATTTCCTTGTGTAGTTCCTTACTGCCTTGTCTCCGAAGTATGCTCATTCAGTAATGAGTTCAATGTTCACGGTTATATTATTCCTAATGTTTGTGTTATTTGATCCCACACTTGAGTTGAATATCTTGTCCACCAAATTTTATGTGCTATCTAGGGTACCAATGCATTATTTTCCTCAATACCTCAGATATTCTTGTATTTTGTACTTTATAGCTGTGTCGTAGTTTTGTTAGTTTGAAACTTGAAAGTGAGCACCTCTAATGTTATTGATTCCAGCATGGGGAGGTGAAGTGTCATCCCGTAGAGTGTCCAGAGTTGTCATGCAAGCATCCGGTGAATAAGAGTGGCGACTGTTGTCAGAGTTGTTTAAGTAGGTATCAAATGCTTGCATGAATCTTAACAAAAACGATCTCCGAAGTTTTTAATCGAGTGATTTTAGTACCATTACAAAGAAATATGGGATGGCGAAAGTTAATAGATCATTTCAGTATACAAACTAAACTAATACGAGCTTTTTATGAATGCCCGAGATTATCATTACTACTATCTACAGAAAATGTACAGGGTGTAAAATTCTTGTCATTGACTATGAATTAAATTGATTTTTGTACAGGTATAGAAAACTCCACAAATAGATGATACAAATGCAAAATTTTTACTCATTAAATCATTGCCAATGAGTTCTAATTTGTTTGTAGTTCCAAAAACCTACATATAAGGGGAAATAGATATATTTACGCAAACGTTCCTCGTAAATATATGATTACTGTTCGGGGAAGATTTGCGTACAGAAACATAGAACTAAATTAGAAAATTATTCACCAGATTTTTGAATCATATATATCATATAAAGTTCCGCCATCTGTATCCCTCATAACACGTCATTGTTGTAACGGAATATAAGAGTACAGTTTTAATTCAAGCACCATTTCATGGTTTGGAATGGAAAAACTTAAAACTAGTTCATTTCTACACCCTGTTCACAAACTATAAAAATTGAGGCCGCATCAAGTGTCAACAGAATCCAACAAAGATTCCAATGGGATGAGTACAACTAGCTCTAGTTCAGTCATCGCAATGTACCGGCTTAGATTCTGAAAGTTAGCAAACTTGAAACATTGTTTTGGGATAAATGGGTACAATGCGTGTGTCCCTTTTTACTGTAATTTAATTCAATTAACAAGAACAAAGGCAATTTTTATATGCATTCCATATAATAGAAATAAGCCTGAGTCACTCGTAATGAACTCAATCATTGAATATTTTTCAGTTTCTAACTTTCCGAAAGCAAAGCATTTTTTCTTTCTTTCTCGAAAATATCCTTAGTTGTTATGTTTCCTTTCATGTAATATTTGAAAGAACCTAATTTCGAAGTATATACAATATACATATTGTCATCGAGAGCCAATTTCCGTTATTTATTGTCGCGGATTCATCAGCCATAGCACAAAGCACAGTGTTCAAAATTTCGCTGTTCCATTTTTCGTAACGTACTAAATAAGAATCTCAACTAAATTGCTTACAAAAATATACACACATAGTCACTTTATAATGTTGCAAAATCGCTTTCAATATCGTTAATGTCATGCTGTTCTATGACACACATGCGATAGCTCTGTTGTACTCATCATTTGAAAAGTCTGAGTTATAGTAAATCACTTGTGCAGGCAGTTGAATTAGTATGCTTCATATCAGGCCCTTAGTTTTGTCAGTGCAGTTTTTGAGTAATTCGCAACTAAAAATCCGAATTTTAATTTCAGAAACTGACAACTAAGATAAAGGATGTAGTTTCAAATCCACCAAGTGAGACATACGAGTAACAGCAACCCCGTTTTTGCAAGATTAAATTCCACAACTTGGGGATATTGTATAAGGTACTAAGGAGCACTTTCAGTATAACCCCAAATTTAACCAATGAAATCACACCCTGTACAAAAGTGATTTCGCAATGATACTATGTTTGTTGTATTATTTTTTGATCTATTATGTGAACACATATTTGAAAGTACAGCGTATTTATGTATATCTTGAGATGATCTATTAATTGGATGTCCCATATTTGAATAGCTTTGTTATCTAAATCATACAATTTTAGTTTATCGTTAATATTATATTCCAATTAAACGCTGGAGCTCCTTAAAACTTTATGCAAACCTACAAGTTTTTTTAACTGCATGACTCTTAACTATTTAAGATCCTGAAAGCTTCAATAACTTATAATACCAGAACCTATCTATACCATGAGTAGGTCATATTGTATGAATCATTAATACCGCCTAATAACTCCTAATTTGCTTGACATTACACGGCTATTGAGATAAAGCTCTCCCACAAACCATACTTGTGGCATGGAATCCTGGAATCTTCACAAGTTCTCTGTCCAGTGTTTCAGATTCTAATCAGAAATACTTTTTTGTAACGGATAGAAAACTATTTTAAATCACAACGGTCGAAAAGCAAAAAAACTCAACAAAAGTGCCAACATCAGCCAGTGAAAGCATGGGCTCATTTTTGATTCTCTGTATTGTGCTGGTTGTCAAATAAAACCACAGATGTTAACGCGATTCCCACTATCAAGAGGACCATCTCCTGAGGTAACCGGTGGATGAAAAGGAAACGGCAGTGGGCTGGTCTTGGACGGTCGTTAGCCCTACTTTAAAAAAAGAAAGCGGGTGCGTACCGGGGTAAATTTCCGTAATAACAGACTCGGATTGCGATTGGCGATCCAGCCCTAATAATCCCCATTATAAACATCCGAATTTATTCTTCCCTGCTGTCGGCTGTTGCAGATCTGTTGGCTCTCGGTGTCAAACCTAAGACGCAGGTACCGATTTTTTCAAATCGTGAGCACATTATTCGTTGGATTTCGTCACTAAATTTCCCGTAATTTCCTGGATCAGACGCCTCCTAATAATAGAACGTGTTTCACATATCAAAGATAGCTTCCCTTAACTCCCACTTTTTAAGTACTTTAATTTTTTTATGAAACCAGGCACCACTGAAACGTCAAAAACGTAGTTTCAGCGATTGTTATTTTTTTCGTTTTTTGCAGATAGCGCCGCCGCTATTAGACTGAAACTACAAAGCTTTGGCATGGTAGTAAACTTGCGTGGAAATTTCATAAAAATCCGAGCGGTAATTTTCAAGTTATAGACGGGCAAAAGGTTAGCAGGCATACAGACGGAAATGAGTGATGTAGATGTCATATAAGACCTAAAAACATAACACGTTATTTTCTAAATTTTTCGCGGCTTTAAGGGGAGTTAAAATTTTTAAGTTGCCGAATCTACCAAATCGTCAGTAAACCAGTATATTCACCAGCTTAGGTTTGATTTATTGGCCAGTATAAGATGGATAGATCAGAGAGACAACCGGGGCCTAAATTCAGAAGTCATATTTACGTAACTAATTATGAACATTTATTTCGCGATGATGAACACCTATTTGCAGAGTGACTTATATACACGATATTATATGAAATAGGGCCACCAAATTATCTGAATGCGTCCTTTCTTAGTCGTTACCTACCGCTGCGTCGCTTGAGCTGGCAACACTAAACAGTAGACAAAATTCGCGCAAAATCCGATTTGTAGAGGTTTGCGCGCTTCGAAACTGTCGCTTTATTTTATAATATACTCAGTGACATATAAATCCGAACACCCAGTTTAAATAGTTTTATTTTAATAAAAATTGGTGAGTGTATTTATCTTACTGTAAATAACAAGTGAAAAAATTTTCAGCCTTATCAGTTGGACATTCCGGTTTTTATACTGCTTTTTTTAATTCACTAACGCTCTAAAAATTAATATTTCAGCCGCAGTAAAGAATCAACGTTGGCGGATTTTGGTTCTTGACATCCTTTACGATCGGTTACGATGCCTAGAGTACGGAGACCTGTACGATTTCGTCAACCTGTGAGTTTGATAGGGGCCGTATAGTGGGACTTCGGGAAGCTGGACTTTCTTTTCGGGCAATTGCAGTTAGAGTGCAAAGGAGTGTAGACACTGTGGTTAGGTGTTGTCAGGCGTGACTTCGAGAAGGCCGTACGCAAAGAGCAAGGGGCACTGGACGCCGCCGTAGAACAACAGACCCTGAAGATGCCGCCTAAGATTATTGGCCTTAAGGGACCGGTCATCCACTACCAGGTCCATTGCAAATGAATGGTTTGCAGAACACGGAAGACCTATTGGCATGCGAAGTGTTTACCGACGAATGAGAAGTTTTGGCTTGTTTTCATACCGGCCACACTGGGTCCTCCCTTTAACTCGAGAACACCGACGTAATCGCTTTGAGTGGTGCAGACAACGGTCACTCTGGGATCAGGAATGGAATAGTATTGTCTTTAGTGACGAGTTTCGATTTTGTTTAGGCATGCACGATGGTCGTGCCAGGGTTAGAAGGCGACGTGGTGAAAGGAGGAATCCACAGTTTTTTGTTGAAAAACATGTTCATCACACTGTTGGAGTTATGGTTTGGGGTGCTATAGCTTATGGTTCCAGGTCACCTTTAATCTTCATCAGAGGTAACATGAACGCGCAGATAATGCCCGACCACATGTTGCAAGACTCACAATAGACTTCTTTCAACATAATGATGTCACATTGTTACCATGGCCACCAAGATCTCCCGACTTATCCCCAATTGAGCACGTGTGGGATATGATGGGTAGGAGATTGCTCAATTTGCAACGTCCTCCTCAGACTCTAGAAGCACTTCGAGAGGAGTTGGTGGTTGCCTGGAATGAGATACCACAGGAGGACATTGACCACCTGATCAGAAGCATGCCTAGGCGCGTTGGAGAATGCGTAGCACATCAGGGTGCATCCACACATTATTAAAGGTCAAAGGGCTTTAAAGCAGTGCAATCATTTTGAAATTTTTATCATTTACTTATTATGCTTCATTAAGTACTTATACAAAATTTTATTAAAATAAAACCATTTAAACTGGGTGTTCGGATTTATATGTCACTTAGTACGTTTTCGAAAGAAGTTTTCGCAGTGCGCTGAAAACAAAACCCTACAGGGGGTTATCGAGCCACTTTTTAATTTTTTCTACTAAGTTCTTTTTAAAAAATCGCGAAGTTCAACAAAAAAGTAAGCATTTCAACCCACCACAAATCTTGTGCAAAAACGAAATTTCAAAAAGTGCTCCGATAGTACCCTGATCAATTGTCTTCTGAACATACTCTATGAATTTCATTCAAAAATATAGAAAATTGGAGTGACAGTTTCGAAGCAGCTGAACCCTTGTAAATGGCTCGAAACTCACTGCGTCGGTGCCGCCTTAAAGTAATAGCTTACTGACGTTTCGTTCACATTGTGGTTGTATTTCGCGACCAGTAGAACATGAAGAATGATCTGCCAGACAATCACAGAGTATCCTTGACTAAGATTTTTTAAGAACAGTATGAAATAAAGCATTACATTGCTGCTCATTTGAACGGTCATATTTTTACTCTATTTTCCCATATAGTCGCTTCTGTCTCTTAATATTTAATTTGCTCGTAGTAATTGATTGACAGAAGTCAAGGATGTTAGACCAGGGGTTGTATTGTCTTTTTCATGAGTATCCATTACGGTAATATAGCAAGCAAGCTTTACTAGATTTACACCGGCACGGGTATCACGTATCTTGAAAAGTGACATTATGTCGATTTTTTTTGACATTATGCTGTTTTTTTGACATAATGTAAGTTTTTCTACAAGCTGTTATCTTAGCACTTAGTTGTAGGTACGTGTTACTTAAACGTCATGAGGCTTGTTATCAATCTTTGGATCTGATGTGATGTAAAATCTGCTTCTGAGATGGCATTACTGGAGGTCTAAGCTGTAAGTTGTAAGTGATGAATGATAAATACATTTTGTTCTTGTCTCAAATACACTTAATTGAGATACAAAGCTAGAAATTATTTGCGCATACACTTTTTCTTATCCATTCTGGCAATTACATATACAAATTTGCTGAATTTCAAAAATGAGAGAGATAAGAAATAATTATATTCACTGTACACTATCGAATTACACGCCATATACATGCTATAAGTAATTACACACAACGCGGGCGCGATGATGATTTCCCTTAATTCTCCTCAGTTTTTCGTAATTTATAACTTTGAACATAACCTCTCTTCAGAAAGCACAACATAAAAATAACCCGTCGGACACAGCCAACAGATATACTTCATTGGCAGCCTATTCAGTAATGATTTTCTCACACAACAAATATCGCTGATTTTTTACACATTCAGACCAATACACATAAATCATCGAGTTGTGATCTTGCTATTCAACCAACTTTCTTCTTAGAGATAAAAACCATTTGGCTTCACAAAACATAATCAACCAATAATACGTGTAGTTTAGTTAAATGATTCCTCCTTAGATGGACGTTCACAACGATCCTAGTGAGCAAACGTGGAATGACTATTTGCGCCCTAAAAACTACCTAGCTTGCAAGATGGCATCTTATAGGTTTATTTTTACGTTTTATAGGTTTTTTTCATGATACCCATGCCGATTCATTATTGCCAACGTTACAGACTAATACAAATAAATAGCTAGCTGGTCAACTGTTCACCTGAGTAGGTTTCAACGTGATGGATACTCGTGAAATAGGGTTTACTGAGCTGTGTTAGCTGTCAGTGCTAACTTTTAGCAGCTAAGTGCAACTGAACAAGCCAATGATTATATTGTGCAGAATGGTCTCCCGAATGAGTTCGTTTTCCTTGATGATAAGCGGAAACTTCACAATTCGAAGGGAGAATATTTAATAAAACGGCCCTCGCCTCGCTTAACTTTAAATCAAAAGGGTGACTTGCCTTTTAACTTATCCCTATAATCCGAAAATTGCTCCGTGACTTTGAATAATACCCTAATACTCCAACACCCCAGCACCATCGTTATGGGGAGATATAAGTTCAGAGTTACTTCAGAAGGCATATAGAGGTTTTGAGTTACTCTCTATCTGGCTATAAGGAGACATTTGTAATATAGATTGAAGAAAATTTTAATTTACTCGGTCATCGATTCTGTATTTCCCTAGGGGTGGAGTGTGCTTAACGCTTGCTATTGAGGGCATAGACTAACAAAAAAATTGGTCAAGGAGATAATCTTGTTGTTCATGAACTACAGAAGTCATTTTTGTGACTTGAGTTACTAGCTACTGACAGAAAAAGTATGTTTTTCGAGCAGCAGTTGCAGTAGACATGATCTTAGATAAATGAAAGTGTTCTTATAATGACCAGCAACACTTCATATGTACGAGTATATCTGCTATACACGTACTGCTTTTGTTGTCAAAATCCCTATCGTAAGGCTATGAAACTTGAAAAATTACTATTGTCATACTTAGATCTTCCGTAATGGATGTGCCAAAAGGAAATTGTAGATTAATCTAGTGACAATGTTTTTGAGCTTGACATGCCTAGTATGTTGCTCCTTAATGCGACGCAGGATGTTTAACATTCGTTTTCATAATCGATTTTTTATCTATCGCTCAAGCCGTTTTTAGTTGATTCAACAACTTGTTTGCTTTTTTAAATATGATAGAGTGACGATTTTAGGTGAGGAAAATACTATACATTCATTTCGATTAAACATATCCTTTTTGGAGTAACTGTATTTCAACATTCTATTGTACAATCAAATAACTGGCTCAAATACAGTCCATATGGAGAAGAAATAAACGTTGTAATAGATATTTTGCAACGTCAGTATTCTTGACACATTCAATGTATAGAACTGTTCTTAAGCCAACCATTTGACTGTGCATAAAAATCATCACCGTGTCTTAGTTCTTCTATAAAATACAAGAGAACATCACTGATAAAACTGTTATGGCACAAAATATCCATGTTACGTACTGTAACTAGCGCGCTTCACCTATTACGTTAAGAGGTGCAATATATTCGTGTTCCTCAACCGCCAATGTCACAAAAACAGTCTGAGTTTTAGAAAAAAGCTATTTTGAATAATAAGCAACAACAGCCCTGTATCTCATCAATCAGCGACATTTTACCTGAGGGATATTTAGCTCAATATCATTGTGTCCACAAATTTCAGTCAAGGGTTGCTTCTTGGCGCGTTTATAACACACTATAACACATGTATTGTAATTTTCATACAGAGTCTGAAGAAAGTCTGCACCTCAACGCCATGTTGCACGTTGATTATTTCATTATGTCTAATTTTATTTACGCATATGAGGATATAAAATCAAATTTTCATTTAATCTTTTTAAACAGTTCATATTTTGGTGAGCAGAAATTTTTTTTGTTCAGTACAGCAGCATCTTTCATACATAGGCGAGTAAATGCTATCTTGTGTGTGTGAGTTTGAAGATGATCTACTCAACTAGAGCTAAATAATTATGTATATTGGAAGTATTAATGTAATAACACATGTTTTCTTTATTTTTCATGCTCATCCCAGAACATTGTTTATTTTACGGTCAATTTTATGACCATGGTGAGCAAGTGACTATAAAAAAGTGTGTGGAGTGTCAGTGCGACGACGGCAGTATGAAGTGCGTTAGGACTGACCCAGAAACGAACTGTCCCAGATTAACATGCCCGCCCGAACAGCAGTTCAGTGTCCCAGATCATTGTTGCAAGTTCTGTCCAGGTAACTAGGCGAAGACATGGTCACCTATGGCTACATGTTTACTCCTTATCTACCGTATTACTTTCTTTTCATCAAACATGGTCGAGGAGATATTATAGATAAACTAGTACTCAACAAAATAAACGGAGAAATTCATAAACAAATAATTACCAGAAATTAATTACATGAAATATGCTCTAAAACTAAAAGACCAAGGGGTACAGTTATCTCAGTTTCCAGCAAAACAATCATTTTCATACATAAATGCTAATCGAAATACTTCTAACAAAATCTACCAAAAAATGAAATTGCGCCACGAGTAACTATATTTGTTTTAGTTGTTGAACATTTTGTCACTGTAGCTGCATGGTCATGTCAAAAAGTACTCATATATTGTATTGAGACCGAAGATCAAATTTTTGGCCGAAGCCTATGGTTAGCCGAAGCTCAATGTTCAGATAATCAAAAATATGTGTTCTGTTATAAAAGTAAAGTGGTAGAATAACCAACGTTTGTACTCTTTGCTTTCTTTCTTATAAATACTCGTAGTAAGCCTCAGTTTTAATTAAATATCATGTCGGAGCTTTTGAAAATTAGATTAGAAAGGTTATGATAATTGGATACCTAACTTCGATAAGGTCTGTGGCATTCAGATTGATGTAATGTAATACTGGTAATTAATATGCATTGGAATCTGTTAATGATAGACATACAAAGACATTCAAATTGGATCAACGTTTTACATTAACATACTCGAGTATATTATATTTTTGGAAATAAACAGAAATTTTGTGAAAGAATGTATTTGCAATAAAATGTAGCGTCATTTGAAATGGGCATTCAAAAACAGCTACACATTCACAGAGCTACTCATTAAACACCCGACCCTGATAATCATTTTCAGAATTATACATTGCAATACAGATGTTTTTTAACAAACTAATCATTCGAATCACTATATTTTTTGACATTGGAAAAGTTAAGCCGATAAAGTCGATTTCAATGATAATACGACTATGAAGTGAATTGTTGACGAAAACTAATAGGCATATATAAAGTTCAAAGCCAAAAAAATAGTAGTTTAGCAGCATTATATAGTAAGTTCGTCCTTCTATCTTTGTATGTTTGTTCTGCAGGATTATTTATGTGACATTGATACTGAATGGTAGCTAAAAGATATTTCAGAATACCGGTTTTCACATAGAAGGGTGAAGAACCCGTATTGTCGAATATGTCAAGGTTTTTTAGCACCTTTTGAAAATTGTTATTTCAGTACGCGATCTTGTTGTTAGTATAGTTTTTTAGAAACCTTTGACCTTCAGAAAAACCTGGTAACTTATTTGCTCGAAGGCGCAATGTATGACCGAAGATTTATTTTCGGTTTAAATCGATGTTGAAGTTCCGGTCGGTCTTTAAATGTCTGTTGTGTTCTTAGGAAAAGGTTCACTATCGCTTTCCTGTGTTAGTAGATATATTTATGTTGAGGTCTTATTGCGGAAAGTTGGCCATCTCATTAATGAAGGGAAGGCGCAACCCAAAGAGTTGCATGCCAAGTCATACAAGGTGTTTCTTAATAGGTGTTTATACCAACATGGATCATGCTCATCAAAGACAAAACACGAATGTCCTCCAAATACTACTGTAGTGAGGTGGGATGATTTTCCTAATATACCAGATACAGTTTTTCGTGCCAAACATCCTTAGCTCCTGTATAGGTTTAGTGTAGAACTTATCGAAGTATTTTATCCGACTACAGCTCAAGTATACAAACCATTTATTTCCAAAAGAAATGGTCTCATGAAAACGTCTCAAGGGAAACAATTTATATGAATTAAATATGCTATCTAAAAATGCGATGGACATTTCGTAAAAGTCAGTGGCGTGCACATACTTTTTCTTTTCCCCTGTAAGAGTTAGATTGAATGATTTTGAAATTATGACTTCGACCCATGTTTGTACATTTTTGTCTTGAAAACATCTAATGAATCATTTTGTGAAATATTTAACACACGCTAAGAAGCAAACTGTATAACTTACACTGCTGATAATAACACCATATCAGTTGTTCGATTTTTTGATAGCAACTTTGTATCGTGCTGTCTTTTGTCGTAAGAAAATTTATTACAAAGTATGGTCATCAGTTACGAAATCACACGAACAAGTAGATAGATTACAGTAAAATTAATATAGGGAAATAAAGACCCTCATTTCAACTTGCAATCTCGCCAGGAAAAACCTAGATGTTTGTTATGTATATTTTTTTGAAGCATATTTCTCTGTTTTCCACGTTATGTTCTTTCCAGAGGGCATTATGTAGAAGAAACAAACGACTTGTGTCTTATGGTATCCAAACATTTTTTCATTAGATTTCATTTAAAATTGCACTTTTTTTAATAGTACACATATACATGGAATATGTGGAAGTGAAACTGACTCCCATATTTTACTTTAAGGTCCCAATACGTTCCCGGAACTATTCACAGATAGCATATCTGCAACACCCTTTACCCCAATTGGGCTCACACCAGTATTCCAAAATCACAAAGTGGAGAAGAAGAATAACTGAATAATGTGTAAAAACTAACGATAATGTTGTACATATATTGTAAATTAAATTATTTTTTATAAATCATGACTTACTATAAGACTAGAACTTCTTTTCTTCTTTTCTTTTTCACCCTGTGTAGAGTACGTCAAAGGAAAGCAGGAAAGGTTGCTGAAGTTTGAGACAATAGTCATGTTTGTCAGAATTTACTGCTACCTCAACGCCTACACGACGAGTCAAATCAACATCGCGCTATTTTATCTACATTTATTTAACAGCAAAAATTGCTTTAGTTAGCGTTTTTGTAAGGTGATTAAAAAATGTATGCCAGTATTTCTATAGTAGACAATACATCGAAAAATAATAAAGATCTTATAAACATAGGTCCTAAGATCTCCCATAACGAAGAAACCTTTAAGCCGTCGATGAGACTGGATAAGGACAAAACATGAATATTTTTCAAATAAAGCTATGGTGAGATATCATTACTCTTCTAATATTCACCATATAATTTTCAATGTCAAACTTCACTAACCATAACGTAATTCCAAAGTAGAACGGGTTGAAGTTTTTTGTACAGATTTTGCCTCAGATATTCAAACCAATTTTTCTCAAAAAGGATTCTGGCAAAAACGCCTCAAGCGATTCATTTCATATAAATTGAAATGTTTCAAACAAGATGGAGATGCAGAAAATATTTTCCTTTTTACTCATGTGGTAAAAATTTCTGAATTTCTACGGCATCGGTCAAGCCTGAGCCACGAATATTTTCGTATTTATTGGTTATAGTGTGATTCGCATATATACAAAATTTAAGAAACAGACATGTCTTATATTCCATAGTTTTAACTTCAACACCTTGTTTCTGTATATGGAAACATTTTATTGCTAATGAAGTTTCTGTCTTTGGAACAACTTGCTACCATAGAAATATTACCACTGTTTGGCGACTCACCCTGTAAAATTATAAAACTCCTCCTGCTAATCGTTATGAAACGTAGTATTGCAACTGTTTGGCGAATCACCCTGTAAAATTATAAAACTCCTCCTGTCATGACCGCCCATATAGCAAAATCCAGGGGGGTCAGGTTTGGTTAACTAACAGATTGTGCAAGAACTAGCCAACCCGTTGGTGAGACAAAGGCAAACACAAGATGGTAGCAGAAATAAATATCTTCTATATTGGGTATCTTATTAAGACTATTTCACTTTGAAGCAGAATCCAGGGGGGCATATGCCCCTCCTTGCCCCCCCCCCATGGGCGCCCATGCCTCCTGCTAACCGTTTCAAAACGTAGCAATTGATAAAACTACAGCACTAAATAATAAAGTTTATAATGAGGCAATCTACACATGGAATCATCTAATCAAGTTAGATGCAATATTTCTATCATGGTCAATGCTCGAAAGACTTGTGTTATACAATGTCACAGATAGTTTCATATGCAGAAGATGAGCATTATTGATCCCGAAAATCTGTTACGTGTAAGTATAAAAGTAGCATCAGGAACTGTGGAGCTGTTGGAAGTATGTAACTTACATGAAAAAACTGTCGCCAGCCTTGGACCTATTGGGGTATAGGAAAGATTACCTATTTCTACACAAAATGGTGGTGAAGATATGACTACTGTATATTTGGTAAGAGTTATGCTAGTTTAAGTGCTCATTAAGTATGTATGAAGATAGTGCTTGCAGATCGTGTTTATATGTAACAAAATTATACTGTCTGTTTGTTAGTTTGAGCAGCATTCAGGTAACCCTGCCATTCATTTATCATTTAAACGAATATTAAGCATTAACTTCTGTGAACTAACTGATAATAGATTTATCTGTCTAACTCCTAACGCTTCCTTTGACTTACTCTGCGGACAGGTTCTAACCATCGTAACAATACTAACACATCGCTAGTATGTCTGTTCTGTACTAAACGCTTTACTAACTCGCTTTCTAACAGGTGTCGACTACTGTGCCAAGGGGCACTCGTGTCATGCGAACGCAACTTGCCTTAACTTACAAACAACGTATGCTTGTCAGTGTGACCAGGGCTTTCAGGGAGACGGCAGAACATGTACTGGTATGTGCTGATTTGCGAAAGTCGTGCATTTTTCTAATTTGTAATTAAATTTTTTTAGTTAGAAAATAGAACAAGGTAATCTTAGTTAAGTACCACCATAATGACGCATCGTACACTACAGAACTAAGGGCTGTATCGTCAGTAGTGCGTACAATTGTAGGATGCTTTTATGACCTCTCCTTCAGAAGGGATGGGGTTTTTCTAGATTTCTACTGTTCCGTGTCAGCGTCGGCGTTTCTCCTATTGTAAGCCTAAGTTTTCCTTTTGAATCGTAGGAAATGTCAGGCTTATGTAACAGATGATATAAATCTAATGTATGGAATAATTTGACGCAAATGGATATTAGTAACATAACCTCAACATAGAGCGCTGACATGGAACAGTAGAAAACTATGAAAATCAAGGAGGCCATAAAGGCGTTCTACAACTGACGATACAACCCTAAGCGCTGTCGCTGGGTACGGTGAGATCAACGCAGACGCATAACAATGGTATGCAAGCAGTGGAGTACATTGACTTATTCCACCCTTTTCTATTTTCGTACTTGCACTGGATTGATTATCATAAAAGCTTACCATCATGGTTGGATGCAATCCGAAAAAAATCAAGCCTGTGTTTTGTATGATGATTTCAATCCTGAGAACATTAATTTAAATTGTATACAGCAATAATCAGAACATTTTGACTGTATATCTATTGAGTACAAAAAGTAGTGCCAACTACCAATGAAAAATATCCTACGGAGATACAGGTAATGATGCTACTGAAAATCGGTTGCTTTCAAGCGCGTGATGCTAGGCGAAATCTGGCAACATCGTCGTGCCAGGTGCGAAATTCGTGCGGTCACCCAATTTTTGCACGCAAAAACATAGACATTGAGTGAAGTATATGGGGAAATGTGTATAAGCATTCAACATGTCCTCAAATAGTGAAGAGGGTGCTCTGACGGCAACATGGACATCCACGATAAACAACGAAACAGGAAGCCGTCGATCTCCGAGGAAGTTATGGCGAAGATAGAGCAAGAATCACGATCCGGGAACAGGCGGTTGAAATTCCTGGGGCTTCTGAAAAAGCTGAGACGGGCAGCCCAAAATCGTCGTAGGGGAACACTCACCAAAGCTTAAGACTGCACCACAGTAATGTGCATCCTCATGTCTCACAACATGCGTTTTCAAAATTGACGGAGCACCTAGGCGATCAACGGGTCCAGACGGACGAGGAGTTTCAGGGAGCAGTTACCAAGTTTCTAAACGGGTTGGCGGTGGACTTCCTTGAGGCGGGAGTGCAAAAGTGGATTTCACGGCGTAAACGCGTAAAAAATAGCGTCTATGGAGATAAATACATAGCTAAGAGATCAATGTTTCCTATTGTGAATTCCTTATTTCAAATAAAAAATTCCTTGTGCCTGAAAAAAATGTGGGAACCATATTTTTGAAACAACCCTCGTAGTATTGTTCAATGGTTATTTAAGGGATTCCAATTTCCACTAACATCATTTAGGAACCTGTATCTTCATAGATAAGTATAGTGGAACGATGTTCTTAGTAACTCGCGGCATTACTTTTTTGCATTCTATATGCGCTCAATAGATTTTCATCTTATTCTATCATACTCTATTCATGATCATAATGAGAAAACTAATTGTCTTACTAGCACCTCATTTTTATTATTAAGCTGGCAGAAATACTCGAAACCTAAAGCTTAGAGAACATTGCTCTGTCTAAATTCACGGAATCAATTGTGTAAATTCAAAATTTATCTAGATATTGACGAGTGCGCAATGGAGGGCGGCGAGCTAGGGCACCACTGCCACTCGAACACAGTGTGCGTCAACACAGTAGGGTCGTACCGATGCGACTGTCCTGAAGGATATGAACAGGTGGACAAATTTGGGTGTGCAGAAGTGGATGAATGCGCAGTGGGAAGGCACCGCTGTCACGAAAATGCCGAATGTACCAACACGGATGGGTCGTACCGATGCAGGTGTAGACATGGATACACTGGCGACGGGTACGACTGCCAGCGTAAGTATAAATATATTAGAAGGCGCAAACACGTTGAAAACGTTTCTGTTGCCATATGAGCCTAATAGATAAATTACAGATGAACTTGATAATGTTCCATTACATACTATACAGGACTATTAAACAACAGTTGCAATATTTCTACGGCAGCAAAAACTTCCAAAAATAGCACGATTAGTTTCAATATACTAGTAGTAGTAGAAAGATTTATTTAGCACATTTGGATACATAAACAGAATAATTGTAAACAACTTAGAATTAGTAAATCCAAGTAATATGATGTATGATGTGAATGCTGGGCAAGCTATAATTGTAGATTTAACAAGTGATTCCTCAATTTTACTTTAAATTTTGTCAAAGTTGTCTGAGCTTTTACCACTGTGTATAATTTATTATATTCAATCAACCCTTGATGGAATACAGATTTGTAGCATATATTATACTTTTTGGTCATTAAATGGAAGTCATATTTATTTCTGGTATTATGGTATTATTCTGATGGTCGGCATTTGATGATGTTAAATTAGTTAGACTTGGCGGAAATATATTATTTTTTACTTTTGCTTTTGCTAAATATAGAATAGTCGAACAATACAAGAAATTTTTAAGGATGATACTATTATAGATAATTTTTTTCTGCTATACGAGCTCAGACAGCCAAAAACTCTTGATAGATATCCCACTTTACTACGAATCTTATTTATAACTTTTTCATAATGAATATCATAAATTAATCGAGAGTCAACAAAAACCCCAAGGTATTTAAAATGTTCTATGAATTCAATATTTTTTGGCGATTAACATAGCTTTCGTTTTACTTGTATTTAATTTGAGTCTGTTAGATGCTAACCATTTTAAGACAAGTTTCAAGTCTTCATTTATATAAGAGATACCAGTCTCAATATTTTTAATACTTATATAATCATAGTGTCAACGGCGAAAATCTGAATTTTGCATTTTTTGACTATGGCAGGTAAATCATTTATGTATAAAATAAAAAAGTGGTCCCAGGATACTGCACTGTGGAACACCCAACGTATTTTCAATTTTTGATGAAATAATGTCATTACCTTTTATAACTTGCATCCTTTTAGACAAATAATTTCTAAACCAATTTAAAACACTTCCTGATATACCATATGCCTTCAATTTACCTAACAAAATATCTCTATCAATCGTTTCAAATGCCCTCTTCAAATCCACAAATACTGATATGACAACTTCTTCTGAGTCTATGGCTCTTCTCCAATTCTCAGTTACCAACTGGAAAGCCGTTTCTGTGGAATATTTTTTTCGAAAGCCTGCTTGCGCCTCCACTAAAATTTTGTTTTCTTCTATAAACTGCATTAATGGGTCATGCACTATGGACTCTAATAATTTTTCAATGTCTGGTAACATATTTACTGGTCTCATATCGCTGCATCTTTTAGAATTTTTTATTTTGAGGAACTGGTGTTATTGTAGAGCATTTCAAATTTTCGGGAAAAGGACTGCTTCTCAGTGAACAATTGATCCAATTTAATACAGGATATCCCAAAATTTCGAAACAGTTTTTCAGCACGTTTTTAGTAGTAATTTCGGCACAGTTGTTGTTTGATTTTAAACTGTTTACTTTTTTCTCAGATAATTCAATAATACGCTATGAAATTTTGAAAGTGTATGCAACACTTCCCCCTGGAAACTGATTTTCATATAGTAAGGTACAGCATTGACAGTACCCACAATATCAACAATACTTTCCACAAAATATTCATTTAGTTTGTTTGCAATCACCAAAGAATTTGTTTCGGTACCGTTTTCGAATTAAACTTGATTTACACAATCATGCGGCTTTGAATTGACCAGGCTTCATAATGTTTTCCACATCTTTACACTGTCGCACTTGTTATTATCGATTTGTTTATCGTAGAATTTCCTTTTTTCTTTTCTAATTACATACAAACATTTATTCCTTAGAGTTTTATATACCTCCCAATCATCGTTTGATTTTGTGAATATAAATTTTTTGAATTGTTTGTCTCTCAAATTTTGAGCTGCCTTAATATTTTTGTTATACCAGGGTGTACTTTTTGTCGAGCAAATTCCTTTTTTTATCAGTTGCATGATCTAAACAAGTTTTTATATTTCCTATTATGTTGTCATACATTTTTTCCATATTCTCACGATTTTATTAATTTGTAGCAGAAAAATGTCCTACCAAGGGCAGCATTGTCCAACTGTGACCACTAACTTTAGGTGTATGTACAGCTTTAATCCCTACATATTAGAAATTTACAATAACAAGATGTAACAAAGTCTCTGATAATGATGTTATTCTGGTACTCTCTTCAACCATAGTTATTTATGGTTTCTTTGAAGTTTCTTGTTTTCATGCTTTAAGAGAAATTGCTAATCGGGTGAATCGAAACGAAGCTACTGTAATAAGATGCTGTCGAGCGTGGTTCCGAAATCAACGCGCTAGAGGTACTGGACGTCAAAGATAGACTACAGAGTGACAAAATTGTTATTTGAGGCAACTAGCACTTAGAAATCGATTTTCCACAAAAAGGGCAGTTGCGAACGAGTGGTTTGATGCTGTCGAAAGGTCAATAACAATAGGGACAGTTTATTCGCCGAACAAGGTCTTTTGGACTATTTTCATATCGTCCTCCTCTTGTACTACCTTTGACTCCACAGCATCTTCGGCAGCGATTGGTATAGAGTGGGGGGAGACTTGAATGCAATATGGAATGTAACTCAATCGTGTACAGCGGTGAGTCCAGATTCTGTTTGGGCACACATGATGGGTAAGAGTAAGGAAGAGCCGGCACATTCATCTCACTGTGGGTGTTGTGGTATGAGGTGACATTGCTTACGGCAGCAGGTCACGATTAGTGTTCATTTGAGGTAGCGTGACTGTCCAGCGCTATATCCACGAAGTTTTCCAACCACATCTGCCTCCCTTTATGGAAACATTGCAAGATCCCCTTTTCCAGCAGGACAATGTACGATGTCATGTCGCACGTATGAGTTCAGACTTTTTAGAAGCGTCCGGGGTAAATCTGCTTCAGTGAAGAAGGTATCAAAATTCACCGCGCTCGTCACAAACATTGCAGGCTCTACGAAACCAAATTCAGATAGCCTGGGTTACAATACACCAAGAAGACATCAATCGCCTAATCCAATCATTGCGGCGGCAACTTAAGGAATGTGTAGCGTACAAAGAAATCAGTGTTACATTTTCTATGTTATTAAGTATATATACACTGGTCCTCATATGCTCTTTTAGGTACAGGATAGTGAAGCTATATATAATTACGCAATCGACAGTAAAAGGAGTGAAAAGTGAACAATAAATAGAGTTGTCGACTCAAGATTTTGCAAATAAACAATGCAGCCAGTTACCTCTAGCAAAACACTCACTATTTTGACTATTTTATTTTTGAATATGTTGTTTAATTTTGCATAAAAGCCTCTGTTAAGGCATTTTTGTCATATTTGGGGTGAAACTTGAATTTGTTCTACTTGAAAAATCTCTGATATGTATGGAAGTAATTTTACCTTACTACAACGCTATTAGAAGGATATGCATTTTTTCATCCACAATTAGGTTGTCAATGGCGTAGGAGTCTACAACACCATGTATCTCGATACACGTTTCTTGCTATTTCTAGGAATACCTTCAGCTTTAGAAATACCGCTATTGTGATCTGAATCATCCCGTGTAGGTAGCTGGAAATACCTACCAAAAGCAACAAGTTTTAATAATCCGTTTCTATCACATGATGTCAAAACAATTCCAAGCGAGTAAACTTCATTCATTTCTACGATTAAATGAAATTAAAATTACAGATTAGGTCTGGCAGAGTGATGAAAAATTAATAAAACCTCTTGTTTCCTACAAAATATATTTCTTGTTTAGAAAGTTTAGAGTATTATCACCAGCCATAGCAACGATAGCAGATATACCTGACTTATATATAATAACGTTTGTTGACGCAACCCCCCTTCCCCCGCCAATGAATCCATAGGTGCCGGGAACTGGGTAAAGATTTGTACCCATATTGCACATAATTGTTTGCTTCGCTGTTGACAAAGTTGTTCAGTTGTTTTGAATCATACCTAACAAGTATGTCCCTTTGTAACTTTGCCTTTCTCAGGTTATAAGCAATTTAAAATCTAGGCCTAAAAATTGCCATTTTCTAAGGTGAAAAACTTTTTATGGTAGCCAAGTCTCAAAATTAAACTACAAACCGTCCGCCACAAGACTCTGAAGATTATTTTGGGCTTATTTCAAAACATTGTTAGTTGATTATCAATATCGCGATATGAGCTAAGCGCGTCTCCCTAGTATACAGAATATGTAATGTGCTAGTGGAACGCGCCCGTTAGTAACATTAAAATGGCTGATTTGAAAAAAAAAATTAGGTCCTTGATACTTTCTACAAAATTGGATTGAAATTAAAGTTAAGGAGATGCTGATGCTGATGTACTGAAACTGCATCATTAGATATACCAAAATACGAATCGATTTAATTGTCATTATAATAAGTTTGAAAAATATCTTAGTCATACCTAAAAATCACTTCTTATCTGTCTCCCAAGCATCAAATTTTGCCCCACACTCTGAATGGCAGTGAAATTGGAGCTTAATTTTCAATAAAACCGAACGCAGCGTTATAGTTTTTTAATATGACAAATCTGTTACTAAAAAACAGGGCAGGCTGGACTACGAGTACAGAAAATTCATTTATCTACTTTTTTGGCAATCAGCTAAGTAACCATTCTAATCCTAAAACGCTCTTCGATGCCTTGTAGGGGAAGGCTTATCTTTAATTAGACAACTGGCAACTATGTTTTTTTACCGGGTTTTTAAGCAATAAAAACAGCCAGTTTTTCAGACTGTAAATGGCTTATAACTCGAAAACGGTCAACTTCAGCGAAAAGCTAATAATAACCGTATTTGATCACAATGATCCGAAAAAACCTAAATAATGTTTGTCCAGAGCAGAAGAAATATTTTTTTAACTTGTTAAAATACGTTTCAACAAATGTGCACCGTGTTATCACCCAGCAATGTCGTTAAGAGGCATCTAACAAACGTGATTATGAAAAAAATCGGGTTGGGAAATTTTTCTCAGAAATTCGAGGTTTTCACCCCGCCTATGCACAGCTGGGGTTGCCACAATTTGATCCGCTATGATAACAAATCACATCCTACCCTTAGTTCAGATCGTACCCTCTAGAGACATGGGGTAAAACACAATTAGGACACATACATTACTCATCCGGCCTTTGTGCTGTATCTGATTTGTTGTTAAACATATATTAATTATGGTTATATCAACTCGGGTAGAAGGGGTACAGAGGAAACTTTATAAAGAAAAAAAAACATACGTTTTATACGACGTGTACCGGAATGAGTGCTTTGCTTGTAACATTATTCCAAAAAAAGAATACGTATGAACATTTTCCAATTTGTTATTTTGTAGTTTAGACCGACCTATCATATAATCATCAATGTTTATCTGAGGTATTTCTATATAAAATCGTTTAATTTCCATAGTGTTGTTACTAATAGATAAATCCAAAGATGCTAAAAATTACCCCAGGTTTTGCCTGCCATAGCCTCATTTTTTTCAAAGTAAAAGGTCAAAAAGTATAAGAAACGTTGGAGTTAACTTTCAGAGGCTATTTGTGACCTTCATAAAATAACTCTGAAACTTCTGTGTAGAGTTTGTAGCAAATATAAAGCACCTATACATTTTCCTAAGCAAAAAAGCTAAGCTGACGATGTAAAATATGGTGTACAAGACAATAAAATTAACAATTAAACCGGCAAGATATGAAAAACTTACATACGCGAATTGAAAATCAAAGTAGGTACCTTAAAAGCCAAACTTCATTCATTCCAAGCACTGTGGTCACGCACAACGTGCATTCTATCATAAGGGCTTAGTATAACATACATGTCCTAACAAACCTGATCAAAGTTCTAAAGGTAACTGATCAAAATATATAGGTACTAAATTTTTTCACTACCAATATTAACATATTTAATATGTCACAGTTGAAAAGGATTGTTGGTTTTTTGGATTATCGGTTTGTTGTACCCTTCTATGTATAAAGGTAATGGATATTGTCTAGCTTACCAAATTTAATACGTGGTCGTTAATTTTTACTATCTATTGGCTGTTTGGTAAGTACCAGCATTTTTATGCATTATTGGATTTTGAAGGGCATACCCCCTTTCTGACGATAATTTTAACTATGCATTTCTTATGTGTGATAATAATACAGTGTTTCTGTGTTAAGTTCGTTTTCATCTATGCAGTAGTCAATGGGTTGTTTTCTGTTTTTAATTTGCTCTTTTTGACGCATTGCTTCATGCATTTCCTTGATATGCTTTGTCATCAATTCAATTGTTAGACTAATCTAGTTTTTACTCTTCTATTCAACTTGTAGGTTTTTCTGTTGTTGTTCCATTTGATCCTGATAGTTTCATCTGTGGAGGGTGTCGTCGTTGATCAAGAGGGTTGTTCCGTGGTGCTCTCGAGATATGGAGTTACCACAGAACACCTGGTTACTTTTGTTTCCCATAAACCACGCAGAGCGAACTAGATGCATTTTTTTCAATTTTTGCCTTATCCGATCCATGTCTTTTTTCTCCTGAAAATGTTAGATTTTCAATGTCAGTTACTTTTTTAGAAAATACAGCTAATCGCTCAACAACCAATCAGCACAACCCGATTGCATGAGGTATCCAAATATAAGATATAATACGATATTGTCGGTGTTATTTTTGATTGCGGATTACTATTCTAAAACCAGTACAATTTTCATACTCCTGAACGATGAAATACCCTGTTTTAATATTGATTTTGATGTGTCTCTTGCAACATATAGTAATATGAATACTCATTTGATAAGCTTTTGTCCAGTGAAAATATATGCTGCTCTAAAGTTTTTGGCCGCCATGTGTTTCGCTCCCATGCTTTTTTAAGAATATATCTTCGTAAAATGAATAGTGGGATCCAACATAATAGCTTAACACAAATTTTGTTTCACTACCGGGGCGGATTGTGTCCAGTATATTTTAGTTTATTACTATAGCTTTCAGAAGTCAGATGAATCACAATAAATTCAGACAAAATAAGACTTGTATGTCTTTCACTTGACTGCATGGTTTTTAAGCTGAAAAATGTATAAAGAAAAAGGTATGCTGGGACTGTTGTCCTTCGATTAGCTTAATTATGTTGATACGTTTTAGAGTACGTTATCCAGGTGCAACAAATGATTCATTATTTTTTATGCATGTTTCAATACAACAAAACTGGTTATGTGAGTATGGACTATAATTCACGTATACTGTTTAGAAACTGTATCATTCCAGATGTATCCTAAATTTTATGCGTGCTTGGTATCATGACAGCATGTATTATTTGTTCTTATATCATGAACATATGTTTTGAACGTTCAGTTATTTTATAAGTATCTGCTTACGAATAACGCTTTAGAGAACTGCGAGCGATGGACACTCCTGTTGAAGAATATCGTGTTGGGTTGTAAGACTTCAGTTTCAAATATATTGGTATCACAAAAAGCTAACAGAAGGACAAGAGTCATCAGCATTATTCTACATTACCACTAAGATAAATATCAAATCTATGCAAAAACAATTAAACTTAAGTCTTATAAACCGAACTCACTTTCTATATAAGAAGAGTATGGGTTTTTCGCCATCACAAGTTGGAAATTATATCGAAAAAGCTCATATTCTGCTTTTCATTACGAGGACGGATTTATGTGAACTATTTGCTCTACACATATATCAAGTTGATTTGAAAACCATAATTTTACATTGTGTAAACGACGAAAATTGTCCTCGTAATTATCCAAAGAAAGCGTTATGACATAGATATTCTTCTTCAGGAATCCCAGCACCCTCCAGTCTCCTGATGGATCATGGATACAGACCTGTACTGGATAAGACACCCAGTAATGAGCATGCTCTCACTCTTAGAAAGAAAGAGCCCATGGTGGACCTTGTAGTTAGAAGATTTTAGACGATTAGGATCAATTCTACATTGTTTTGACCTGCACTGTTCTCGCAGTAGGTATTTTGTTAATAACGACTTCAGCTTTAGCTCTATTACTCGTAGTAGAGGTCGTGTGGCGGATTTTAATATATGGAAGTAAATACATAATGTCACATGAAAATGCGTTTTTTCCAAAATGATGTTTGAACAGGATGTGATAGCACGAACAAGATACAGAGTTAATTTTAATAGAGAATTTGGCTTCACTTCTTTCCAAACCAACCTTTATATATATATATATATAAGTAACAATAAAAACGCATTCCGATACTTTTGACTTGTTTGCATCTATCAGCGGTGAGAGCATTTGCTTAGGCTGTTAGATTAACTGATCCAGGACTCCTTGTAGTACACTGATCAGTTAATTAAACTTCTGTGGTTTTCATGTTCCTAGGACTCTCTTGACCTGAATTATCTTGATACCTTAGGCATATGACGACATATCAAATGTTGTAGCGGAGGGATCCAAACTAATTATCCCAATGCAGTTATCATTTCCTCAATATCAAAACAACAAAGTTTCGAGTAAATTTTCATCGAGTTTCATGTACGAGGGTGGTCCCAGAAGTGCCCGATCCAACGAAGAAAACACAAAAATTTTGTAAAGAAATGTATTTATTTTTCATCATAATCTCCTTTGAGCTCTATACGCTTTTCCCAGCGATGTTCAATAAGTTCGATAACCTTTTTATAATAAGAACTGTCTTGTTCCTCAAAATAGCCATTAACTGTCGAAATCACTTTTTCATCGTTGGAAAATTTTTGACCACTGAGCCATTTTTTCAAGTTTGGAAACAGAAAATAATCCGAGGGGGCTAAATCTGGTGAATAGGGTGCATGAGGTAGCAATTCAAACTTTAATTCGCTAATTTTGGCCATTGCAATAACGGATTTGTGAGCTGGTGCAGTCTCTTGATGAAACAACACTTTCTTCTTATCCAAATGCGACCATTTTTGCTTGATTTCATCGCTCAAACGTTGCAATAGGTTCGCATAATACTCGCCGTTGATAGTTTTACCTTTTACAAGATAGTCAATGAAAATTATCCCACACGCATCAGAAAAAACTGACGCCATAAGCTTGCCTGCAGATGAAACGGTCTTCGCGTTCTTTGGAGCCAGTTGTCCCTTTTGATTCCATTGTTTTGATTGTTATTTTGTCTCGGGTGTGAAGTGATGGATCCATGTTTCATCCATGGTTATGAAACGACGCAAAAATTCTGCTTTGTTGCCGTGAAACTTCGCTAAACACTCAATTGAAACATCTTCACGACACTGTTTTTGTTCGATTGTGAGCAATCGCGGCACCCATCTTGCATACAGCTTTCTCATGTCCAAATTTTCAGATAATATGCGATGTCTTCTAGCTCGCGCACTTTCAGTCGACCATCATTCAGTACCGCTTTGTGAATTTTCTTCACCATTTCTGGAGTCGTCACCTCATTTGGTCGACTACTGCGATGCTCGTCTTGGCAGATCATATGGCCTCTGCTACCCAATATTTTACTGTTGTAAACGAAGGAGCAGACTCACCCAGAGTAGAATCCAGTTCAGCTTTTATATTGGTTGGGCTGAGGCGTTTGAAATAAAAGTATTGTACCACATAACAATGACCAATTTTCTCCATTTTCACAAATTCACTGAAAACGTTCAGTATTGATGGCTGCCAAACAAATACTAAACAACGTGGCGTTTTCAGACTTGACACATGTGCTTTATGGGTTGCACACTTTGTAATACAATGCTATTTTTCATACAACTATCGCCATCTCTAGGTCAAGCCGGATACTTCTGGGACCACCCTCGTATAACAAACAACAACGGACTCCCCTTAATGCTGGTTGCGCCCACATAAGTATCACACACCAAAGCAGAAAATTCTAAAACTTTCATTTGCTTTTTTCCAGCTGTGTGTCCAGGTGGCTGCCTGAACGGTGGCGTGTGTCGTGCACCAGGCATGTGCGCATGCGCGGCCGGCTACACTGGCGCTTCCTGTGAGCGCGACCTTGACGAGTGCGCTACCAACGCGCATCGGTGCGCTAACACCTCCGTCTGCGTCAACATGGTCGGCTGGTACTACTGTAGCTGCAAGCGGGGCTTCACCAGCCCGCCCCTAGACAATAACCTTGGTGCTAAGTGTGTAGGTGAGTACGACGCTCGACCCCCAGACCCTGCTGCCGGCTGGTTCGCGCCCAGCAAAGCTCACAGAGGGCGGTACGACTTTATCATGGTGGTGCTTTGGTGTGCGGCGATGAGGATTATACAGCTAAGCTAAGAAAATGAAAAGAAAACACCGTGTGAATATGAAATGTTCACTTTCCGTGAAAAGGTGTAATGAAAGATTCAAATTAGATAAGATTAGACAGATCCCAGTGGGAGTCGAACGCCGCAATACTAATTCGTGAGTGTACAGGGTAATTTTAATACACTACAGGTACAGTAGAGAGCGCCCTCTAGCGGCTACAGTATCGAAATATTTAAAAAAAAACTATTTTAGAAAGTAAACTTAAACACCCTGTATTTCGGAAGCCACGCATTTTTCGACCCATGTTTATATAGACTTTATGCATTCATTTTAATAGTTCTATCGAATCTTAAAGTTATGCAACAATAAACTGAAGCATCCTGTAGAATAAACAGAGAGCTACCTAGTCGTAAGCAATGTAAGCCAACATAAATTAAATTATACACAGTTGTATGAGACAAACAATCATGTATTTGTTTCACTAATACTAATTGAGAAATAAACAAAATGTTTCGCCAGCTACAATAGCATGTCACTTACGGTTTAACGAAGGTAACTAAAAATAAAACATAAACTTACTATTTTAAACAAAAACATGTCCAGATAAAAAATGCATGTTCACAGAGAAGCCTGACACTCAGACTTACTGACAATTTTTTCAATGTTTGGCGTATAATTTGATACCGTCATTCGAATACAATTATCCAAATGTTCATCTGCAAGTAGATTACGGTATTTGTTTTTGATAAACTTCACATTTGAAAAAGAAGATTCACACAAATAGGTTGAACCAAGTAACGTTTTCACTTTCAATGCAACACAACATAAAACTGAAGACCAGATACATTTTGTATGTGAGACTAATGATTTTAAAGCTAAATCATTTTGAAACGCAATCACTTCCATTTCTGTCACAGCGATGTCTTCGCTAAAATTCTGCGTAACAGAAGTTGCAAACTGTTAGATATCAATTTCCATGAAGCTTGAAATAAGAAATTGCGCCACTACAGCAATTTCGTTAAAATCCTTGAAACGACTTTTGAAGTTATCCTTCAAGTTAGAGACTATTTCTACATGATATTTACTGTCATATGGATCTAATGGACTTAGAGACATCTTTTCTGGGAAAATGCCTGGTATTGCCATCGATTAAGTTTTGTTCCCAAAACTCAAGCTTTTTGGTAAACGCTTTTATATCAGAAATGATTTTTGCTAGTACTTAATATCCACAAGAAAACCAAAATCTCTAAGCCAGATTGAATTTTCCAGTTCCGAAATCGGTTCATCACGTTGTTTGAAAAGTTAAACTATGACATATATGATATCATTCAAACGTTTCAGCACTCGTCTCCTACTTAACCATCGGACTTTAGAGTGGAGAAGTAGTTCCCCGTATTGACAGTCAATTTCATTGGTTAAGGTTTTGAATAATCTTATTTGTAACGCCTAAGCTCTAATCTTGTTCACAATTTTTACTACCAATTTCATAACGTTGTTTAGTTTAAGAAAATGTAAACATAATGCTTGCTGATGGATAATGCCGTGGTAAAAAAGAAATTGCGGAAGACTGACACCTTTACGACATAACCCCACGAGACCCTTATCTCGACCCAGCATAGCTGGAGCGCCATCGGTTGTCAAGCCTACCATTTCCGATATTGGAATCTTCTCAGAAGAAATAACATTTTCAAAAGAAGAAAACAAGTCCTAACCAGTAGTCTGTCCTTTCAGTGGAACAAAATGCAAAAGATCTTTTTTAAGCTGCAGTGAAAAATAATCACAGTTATCGAAGTCATTTCTTAAAACTATATCACTGGTCATTACTTCTACTCGTCTCATCACTGTATCAGCAGAAAGTTGCATAGATTTCATAGAAGACACTATCTCGTTTTTATTTCTAGAGTTTGAAAATAATGAATCTGGAGCTGAAAACGCCTATTTTATCATGTTCCCGTCTTCATAAGGTTTCTTCTTTTGTGTAATTATCTGGGACACAAGTTGCAACCTTACTTTTGTTGATTGTTTTCAAAGACATTATCTGTTGTCCAATTAACTGATTTTTTAATTGTTTGAGTTTTTCCGTTCTGGCTGCAGAACGTAATGGGAATGATTTTTCAGAATTCGACTGTACAGTTTTATAGTGCCTTTGGATATTTGCTTTTTTAGCTACGGACACAGATGTATTACATAACAAACATACATTTTTACCTTCAACTTCTGTAAAGAAATATTGTTCTTCCCATTCCGAATGGAAATGGTATGTTTTCATCTTCTTACTACTGCTCATAATGTTTTTAATTGCGGGCCAACTCTAACCCAACCTCTGGACTTTGTGCCGTTCAGTTTTAAACTGAGCGCACTGTCGCCGCGCCTTACCTATTCATTCCGTTCAAAGTAATTGACATCGTTCTCAAACAGATCGCTCACCGCAGTGTTGCCGCTGATTGTGTTTATTATGAAACTTTACAAAATTTACGGAAGCCTCTATGGTTTTTACACCTTTTTAAAATATGTTGTGAGCCACCAGAATTGCCTTTGCCAGCTACCGGTAGCTCGCGATCGACGGGTTGGCGACCACTGGTCTAACTGTTCAGTTGGGAGTCTTGACAGAAAAGACAATTCTGGGACGAGCAGTGAGGGCCATAAGAGCTTACGGCTACTCGCTGGATATTATCGTGTGGAAGTTATTTTGCAATGAGAAGTATATATTAGTGCTCAACTACAAAAAAACAGCCATAAACGACTTCTAGAATTCGCTCAATCCTTGATTTCATCTGTGAGACCCATGGAGCCCAATATTCAGAAGACATTATTGCCACGTGCCTCTCAAAGTACATTTTAAGGCATATTTATAGCAAATATCAAAAAATGTCACTACTTCTTGTCTAAGAAGACATTTCTCTAATAATTCTGAGATTGAAATAATGGTGCCAACTTGGAAAGAAAGTACTGGTAAAGACTCAAGGGTAGTAGTCACGCAATATCAGCGTATTTAATGAACTCTTGAATATCACTAGCAAGCTCATTAATCGATTATTGTGATGGATAATCGGAATGCTCAAATTCTATGTGCTGATAATCACATTTAAGATTATCCATACTCAATTAGTTTCCTGCTGTGTATGACGTAAATCATTTTAACAAGTGGACTCTCTCTCTTAATCATTTTTTAAATATCATCTGTGCATCATAATTCATGATATCAGTAGCATCTAGGAATAAATCTTCTGTGATACACAGCAAATATGAAATGTAATAATCTTATAAACCATCCAGCTATTTGTTAATAGTGACTACACTTTCTCATGCACAATAAAATTTTATAAATAAACAACACTGGATAAAATCTCAACTCAAGGCCTAGTTCTTCAATAGCAAGTTATATTTCAATCTGGGTAACTAGTACTTGGAAATTAACTATATGTTGCCCAATTCGTCTTTCAAGTTCTGGTTAAGTAACTCGTAATCGTTGGTGCGGCAACGCCGCTCCTACATCTGAATTATGTGTTTTGTGCGCTTCATGACGCTAGATATTCGAGTCTCATGTTTAAAGCAAACCAGCCCTTTGAGGTTTAACTTCCCTTTATCAGTGAAATTGCAGTTAACTGAGAATAAAAAACCGGGACTAAGAATATTGAATTTGCCAAGTAAAAGCAATAAATGAATAAATCAAACATGCTGATCGATTATGCGGTCAATTTTTGACACGGTACAATAATATACCAAATAAGGTACGCAATATATACCCATATACTTTCAACAACAAATGCAAGGCGATCCGTATCGGTATACACTACACACGACCACAATGAGCAATACAAATATTTCTTTTTTTCTGTGTAGTCGAATCATGAACTGTATATTTAAAACATACTAAGGTGCTGCATTGATGACAAAATATAATGATACTGTTCAGCTGTTTCCCTGCTATAAAATAGTCTGGTCTGCCCAGCTTAGCAAAATGTCGTATCTTACATAATTTCACTATTGTTCAGTAAGAAATTCATGAATTACAAGCGATTCCTTCAAATATAACTACATAGATGTACATTTATAAGTCTGCTTTACATGTGGAAGTATCTAAACATTTCGTAAGATATACCAAGTTACCAAGTTGCAAATATGTTTGGTTGTTTGCATATCTATAAAATCTGTAAATGTTTTATATATAGAACATTCCCAATAGGATATAAGAGCAATATTTTATTTGATTGTAGAATGATTTTAAATAAATACTGTATAAAAGTGTTTGAAATGCGAGTATTTATTTTTTGATCCATTCAGAAAGTGAACTCAAACTGTACGTAAGTGAAGTGTTTATACCAAGTTGAGTGAATTCCGGATGTATTCAGATATATTTCGTTACCAATTGTAAGTAATCAAGTTTGTTATGCAGTGTTCAGAGTTTGGTAGTTTAGAGTGTGTAGTTTCGTTGCTGCTTCTCGGAAGTAACACATTGCGCCTTATACTTTTGTTTTTGTTAGATGAGACCAAACTATATATATTTGGAGATAACGTTTTGGTTTCTTTCATAAAATTGAATTTATTGAAGTAACTATCAAATCAAGAATACAAAAATAATTTCTCTTCCAGAGAAAAGCATGACATATATAATTTCTTAATGTAATAGAGCTGATCGGAAACAATACGTTGTAGTTTAAATAGTTAGTGTTTCCGATTTCCCTTGATTGCACATGAAACATTCTTGTTGTCTCTTTTCGTCGTTAATAATTGTACATACACCGGACTCAATTCTAAAATTGAGTATAATACCTAGATCTTACTTCAAGCGTCCCGTTTTTTTCGTATAGGAAGGCAGAGATTTAGGGAGATGAACCATTTGCTTCATTATACAGGAGGTTTTGATAATCTTCGGAATGGTAGTACTAACGTTTCCACTCAATACTGTTCTGAAGATCTGCGAGATCTTCGCGTTCCTATTTAGATAATTGAAGTTCAAAGTTAGAACAAGGATCTTTGTTTTCTTAAAGAACACGAATGGAATGAAGAAACCTTATATCGAGAAGCAATGGATCCTCCTCAATGAATGTGTATGCATACGGATGGTTGCCTAGTTAAGCGCAATTATTTGAACGACGGCATTGTTTCTGGCCAGCTCCTATTGTTTGCAGTGATGGAAAGTTACGCGGAACTAGAGTGAGATTGGACAAAAGGCAAAATTTTGTGTATCGTTGTATATACACTCACATTTCCATTATTGTGTAGTAGATCAACATAAAATAGAAAAAATAAATGATTCACATACACCAGCAGCAAAGTTACAGAACATATGCAAATGATGTGACGGTTGAACTAAAAGCATATAATAGCAATAAATAACAATTTGCCTTTTTCATTCCTTCGTCCTCCGTGTTTGACTTGAACAAGGATTTGCAATGAGAAATACGCTTTGCGTATTTCGAATTGCATATGCTCCAGAACTTTGTTGTATACTTCATTCAATATAGTAAAATTTATTTTTTCTATGGCCCATCCCTTGTTAAAGCTATTCGACAAAATTAGTTGCTTTAACTTATAGCTAACTAGAGCTGCTTCAAGCCTCTAGATGTACAGTTAGATGCAATTTTCTATTGCTAAGGCAACGCTTACCATTGCAACTTATTGCCTATTGTTGTCTTTATTGCTTTTAAATGCTTTTAATCCCGCCAAGATTCACTTATGAGTGAAATACTTGATACCTTTACCATGTGGATATTGTCTTTCGCGTTCAACTATATATAAATTCAGATAAAATACAACAGCACGTCGGATCAGACTATTAAAAACAGCAATGTTGATTTCTGCCTAATCAGAAGAAGCATGTGATACTGATATTACTGTTAAATTTTTTAGATTCCATTGTGTTAAATCAGGAGTCAGGAAGTCACTACACATTTTGAAAGATTCGTAAAACCCTGTTTCTTAACGATATGTCTCCTGTATATTGAGTACAATGATCACTTTTTGTGCCGAGTGAGAGATTTTGACAAAATTATTTGTAATGTGGGCACAAGATATGAACACGAATAATTATTAAGTATTCTCTTTAATTCCTAATCATTCATAGACAGCATTTTATAAAAATGCGTCAAGCACCAGCCCTCAGCAGTATCGTTTCAAATCAATGGTCATGTCTAGACTGATTTGGACACTCAAAAAGTAGGGTTATGGGAAACTTTCTATGCAATCATGACTAATTTTGACGCCCAGAGTATTTATTTTATAAAATCGTTAGTTACCTGATACTAAAATTAACATATATTTTATTTATCAGGTCTTATTAGGTATTTGGTATAAAAAATTATCACTTTCCAGATATAAACGAATGCGAGATGAACCTCCATACATGCCACCCCCCAGCGCAATGCCTGAACACCCAGGGTGGATTTCAGTGTGAATGTCCCTCAAGTAACCCGCACTGCAAATTAAGTTGTTTATTCGAAGGCAAAGAAGTGGCCCACGGTTCTGCATTGACATCCAAGGACGACCCCTGTAAAACCTGCACGTGTGACAAGGGTATCATGCGATGCGAGGAACCCAAGTAGGTACTTGACATAGTTTCCGACGTAAATAGAAGTTCCTTCACTGACCATAAATCTTTATGTTTCAATAACGAAAATACTCCTTGGAGTAGCCGCAGGTAAAGATGTAGTATAGGGGAGGCGTTAGAAGAAACCAGTTATAATAGTGACCCAACTCACATTTATTCCGAAAGCTATGATACAGTTCTTTGAATGTTTCTATATGACGATGGAATTTTCAAAAATTGTTATCACAAAAAAATAGTAAGAAAAAGTTCAGCAACTCCATCTCCTGCGGATGTAGATCAGCCTGATTGCTCAAATCCTATGCCTTGAGTTTCACAGGACCAGATTATATACGCGTATAACCAGCGCAGGCCATTCTCTGTTCCATATTTCTCATTTCGAGTCTGCGCTCAGTGAGCGAAGGGGTAGAAGCTGCCACGTAGTCCGTTCATGTATCCAACAAACACGACAAAAGTTCTAAAAGGCCTCTACGCCTTCTGGTCAAACTAAAAGGTAACCCGCACTAAGCACAGAAGATGTCACCCATCATCATATTTTAGTTAAACTGGAAACCGTCAGTCAGATGCAATACTAACTGTCCACCATGAAATATGCAGTGGCGTACTATGTTTCAGAGCAGTTGATCTTGGTTGCAGAGAGGGAAAGCAAACTGTTCCATACCACTGTGCACTCAGCATTCTTCGCCATGCTAACTTGCCTATATGGTGATGCGATCTGCAATAACCAGTGTACACTTCCATGGAGGCTTTAAGCTGTCGCCAGTTGTGACTTCGTTGTTAAAACTAACATAGATGCCTTTAGCATACGATAAACCTAGAACTACTGTTGGTGGATTTGTATAGTTGTACGAGTATACTGGAGTTGTCGTTCCTTGGACAAAATAAAAGAGTTCACATTACCAATACGGCTGATTTCTCAATATTTAGCCGTGCAGAAAATTTTCAAACAGCAATACTTACTAGCTAAAAATGTCTACCTTCACTAGATCAGGTTGCTATTCCTATCCGCTTCTCTCCTTGGCAAAGACGTAGCTGAACAAGGATCAGCATACCTTGTCATCTTTAACTTTTCTAATTTACGGTGATAAAAAATTCTAGATTTGTAGTCATGCTTGCTTCCAGGTGCGATTGCAGTCTGTTCACATCCACAACTGCGCCAACACCGCAGACCAATAATGGAGCTGGTGATATCGGTCCTACAGCATCTTGCTGTCCGCAATGCGACCCTCGACTGGCGTGTCGTCATCAGGAACTGACTGGAGTAGTACTTGCACATGGGGAACGCTGGCTGTACCAGTGTGAGACGTGCGAGTGTTTATATGGCGAGGCAAGTATTTGTACAGCAAAATCAAAATCAAAACAGTTGTCTTTATTATATTATGATATGTGTAGGTGGACTGTTTTGAAACGCGTTGCCCGCCCTTGCACAGCTGCGAACGCCCAGTCCGCAGTCCAGAAGATTGCTGCCCACATTGCGAAGACGCATGCGCCTATGCGAGAGCCAATGGCAGCACGCCACGTGGTTGCGAGTTCGCCGCAGCTGTCTGTGCGATGAGCGAATGCCGCGAAGAAACGTAGTTGAAGGTCGATCTCGAAAACGAATAAGAGCATACTACGTTTTTGCGAGCTTGTGGGCATTGTCCGACATAGAGATGGAACGTCGATGCATCATGCTGTAGCTGATTTTATAATATGTGTGGTGCTCTGAGGCAGAATAATCGACAGTAAACGCGAAACGGAATGTGAATGTAAAAGTTACGACACACGCAATAATTCAAGCTACTCACTAAGTTTGAGAGGAATATATGTAGACTTAAGCTTAAGCTTGGTTTTATCTAGTAGAACTGATGACTTCGAATGGTGTCGCTGAATTTCAGAACAAAGAACTTCTTATCTAACATTAGAACACTTTTATACATGTTAGATATCGGGATGATCAGGTATTCTACACTCATTTACTGGAATTCGTCAACAATACAAGAGGTTCTCCACAGTAAGTCATTACATAAATTTGTTTCCCTGTCGTTTTTATGAACATAACAGCAAAACATTATTCTGCCTCTTTTCAGTGCTGCAAAGTTTTGTATGTATATCATCACAGACCACCTATGTTTGATATACTGAGGAGCTTTGAAATTAATATTCATATGTTCTGCAAACAAAAAAATGTGTCTAGGTAGGTACAATGGCTGATTTAATTTACCCAATTTTTCAAATGTTGGCATGCATATCTTGACATATACATTCCTCTGACTCGCCTAATATCGATAATTTGAGGCAGAAATTATAAAATTATAAGAGCTTTTGTAAAAAAATGGTTTATAGATAGGTGACTGAATCTTTATACAAAGTTATGCAAGCAATAATATATTGTCTATCTAAACGACGACGTCTTAGACTGGCCTATATTTAGTGTTCCGCGCAATTTGTAGGCACTAGAATGTGAAATACAAATATCAAGTTGTGGGTTAGGAGTATGTGCAAAAACCGACTTTTAAAAACAGGATTTATTGACCTTTTTTCTTCGTAGGTACGATCTCTCTTCCATTTGTTTTAGCAATATAAAAATACTAGTGTTAAGTAAATATCGACACATACGAATATACCTTTTACCGACAACAAAATCAGTGACAATAAAGTATATGCCTAACGAATATTGACAAAAGCGAGACGTATCTTATTGTGAAATATCGCAAAAGCTTTACACTTCAGCGTTATCTGTAAATGTCATGACATGTTGACATCTATAAACTTCCTTTTACGGCTTTACAGAGCACATTATCATACTCTCAGAACTCAGTTATCATTAAGCAATACTCCTAACGTCATACTGAATGCTGGATTGCCGTGTTTTAGTAATTGGAGTTTTATATTTACAAGTTTCATTCCCAATCTCTAAAGCTATTATTAGCCTATAACATATAAACAGTAATTGTTCACATTTCTACATATGTTTAATGTATTATAGTAAACTCTGTAAATGTTACCTGTAAATATTTCACGTTAAACGATAGGAAAAGAAAGATTAGTGATATGTTGCAATATCAAACGTAATATAAATCAAAATCTGTGGAAGCTTTGAAATACGCATTTTGATATATTCTGTAATCTTGGAAAATCTAAATGTATATACTAAAGTTGTTTATTGTTAAGCCAGCTTAAAAAACTATAGTTATGCAGGCATAGTCAAATATACAAAAAGGTGTGTAGGAAAGTTTCATGACAATAATAAAATGGACTGACCTGTTTTTACTGATATTTAACATACCTAGCCAAATTCAATAGAAAATAGAATTAGTACAACTGGCAGGCCCAGAGATAGGGAACTGTCACTAAAATTGGTAATCTGAAATGAATCAAAGAACTGCATCTACTTAAGTCAAGAATATTTATCGAACGTTTGAATGCTTTACTACAAGAAAATATACTGACTTTGAAAAAAGAGCACCCAGTAATAATGAATTTCTTAAAACAATTTTTTGTATACCTACATGTTTTTAGGGTTAATTTCAGGAAAATTCAACTGTTGAGAAAATGTAAAAAACCAATGATATGTTGGGCCTCCACGATGTCGTATGCACTTATGTGATCGATTTTCTCTTGAGGTATCTCATCCCAGGATTCGTATACCTCGTGTTAAAGTGCTAATCGAGTCTATAGGGTAACTGCAGTAGTATTCTTCCCATAATGTCCCAGGCATGTTCAACGGATGGCAGATCGGGAGATCTAGGGCCCAAGGCAACAAATCGACTTTATTTGTTTATTGTCTTCAAAATAGACCAACGCAATGTGGTCGAGCATTATCTTGGAAAAGTGGCTTGGTTAGCGTCCCTATATAAAACATGTGGTTCCCTCACATCCTGGATGTAACGCATGGCGGTCATGTTGCCTCTGATCAACACCAGGGTGACCTGCTTCTATAGTTAATGACCACCGACACCATAATTCAAACTGTGGTGCGCATGCATTTTTTGTAGACAATTGAGAATCTCGTCATTCACTTCGTCGTCTTTTTACCCTTGCACGTCCATCATGCATCCCCAAAAAGAATGTGGATTCATCACTAAAGAAATTCGAGGTCTCAGTTTAGCCCTTCTCTCCACCAAACCAGTCGATCACTTCGGTGCCTAGGAGTGAAAGGTGTAACAAAGGATGATATGAAGTACGTCTAAAAGTGTTGATCCGGCGATAAACAATTCACATTGTAATAGGTTTTTCATGCTCTCTAAACGATCCCGTAGAGCCAAGCGCCTCAGGCGGCGATCTCGGTGTGCCACGTCCTGTACCTCTAACTCTTCGTGTAAAACCTTGTTGCCTAATAACAAACCACCACAGTTTTTAGAGTTCTGTGTACCCAGAGACGTCTTCAGGGTGAGTTAGTAAAAAGTTTTGGTTGAATGAAAATAATATAATAATGTACAAATACGTGCCTAAAATATCTGTCTGATTACTCTCGCAATGCTCGACTTGCCGGTGCACTGCCTTGGAGTTGCGTCGTAGTTACATCAAGGGCTAGTTCAGCTTTTGCTTAGAAATTTAGAGTTGAAGGTCTTGTGGCGGTACATGGGTAGCAAGATAATTTAGTGAAACTTTGGGTGCAGAGCCAGAGTTCAAAGAAGTCAGACAGATAAAGAAAAGAAGAATGTTTGAGTGCGAGGGAGATGAGCCTATGTCAGAATCTACCGAGCAAAAGTTACAACAATATTTAAGATTTCCATCAAGAATACCAAAAGAATAATAGTTTGTGCAAAAATATGAGCATTTTGTAATGATATGTGCTTATTTATAATTGATTATTCACTACAAAAAGAAATATTTCTTATACGATTTTATTTATTTCCTGACAGACCTAAATTTTATTATAATTTTCCTAATGATTTATAGATTAAAAAATTAAAGTGGAAGAGCCTACATCATACTCATCAATCATATTTCTTTCACACAGAGTGAAATATTGTATAGATACTTACATCAAAAATAAAAACTCAAACCCTAGCAAACGAAAAAAATTACGTAACTAATAATAAAAAAATGTCTTTTTTAAAAGGCCTCGCATAAATATGTTGCTCCAGGCCTCGCATTTGCTAAGGACGGCTCTGTGTGCCCCCAGCCTCGCACAACCCCACTGTTTGCCCCTATCTAAGCTGTTGAAAATGTTCTCGTCTTGTTAGTCTAGGCATAATGGACAGATTAAAGCAGGTTTTCACGACGTATTGTACGATGATCAAGTTCCAATTGTAGCTACAAAACACAACTATTTACTTACTTTTTTTGTAAGAATAGACGATGTTACATAAGTGACGTTATCGATATGTTTGAAAAGCTGATAATTTTTTGTTCTAACCTAAACAAAGATGTACCTATACAATCTCTGGAATTAATTTCATTATAGCGGGGTGTTATTTTTCTATGTCACTTAGTATATATCTACAAAAAGGTATTCAAAGGAACTTTGGGATATAAGTTTTAAAGTGGTAAGGTTTAAGTGATGCGCAAATTAATTCTATCACAATAATAGGCTTTAAAAGAAAATCATAAATACAGAAAAAAACTGAAGTGACATTATTTGAAACATGCAACGGAATTGTGTACGATAGAGGTTATTACATGTACCGAAAACAGTATGCTGACAACTCAGAATATATTCTTGCAAAGTAAGACACATGGGCGCCCGCAAGAGCGTGCCAGAGGGCCGTGACCCTCTTCAGAATTCGTTGATCCTTAAAATTTGCATGTTCAGAATGATTTTGTAGAATTTTGGTGGCATCAAAAAGTTTTGGGGTACATATAACATATTTATGCTCTTCAAAAAGTTTTGAGGCAGGTGCAGCTCCTGGACACCGTTGCTCTAACTAAATCTCCTGAATGAACACAAATACTCGTAGCTTCACCCAGTTATCAATGATTCATCGAGCAATGGACTGTTAGCAAAATATAACTGGTGGGCAACTCCAAAATGCCTAACGATGGCAGTGCCAGTAACTCTTTAGCAACTGGTCACGTTGCTGGCGCTTTGGTGCGAATATTTGTATTTGAATAAACATACTTGTGCCGAGTCTGGTTGGCTTTGGGTTAGGATTGCCAGTTGCTTTCGGTTCTTAAAAGGGTAATTTAAATGTCCTCAATATTCTTGACTAACGTAGAGAAGTTTGTAGCGATAAGTGGATTTGGTCCTATGTAATGGAGTATCCTCGGTACTGTCCTGGATACCTTAGACTCGTCAGTATAGTGTTTTCAAAGTGACCTTAAACTCTTTCCAGAAATGATTTTGGGTCGGAAAGAAGGTCATGTTACATCTAAGGTACTTAGAAATTTGAAGTAAGAACAAATACAATCTAAATACTCTTGTGTAAGGAATTTTCTAGTCATTTGCCTACTGATTCAAGGTATTTAAAGTGATACTTAGATTAGTATAAAAATGTTATAGCCAACAAGGCAGAAATAGTTTATAAGCACTTATAGCAAGGACATCTTATATGTCTCCAACTTTCGGAGCATTCATACGAGCTGAAATGGGCTCATTGTGCTTAGCGGGCATTTACTTTTTTATTACAAAATTAGAGAGTTCGTTCAACATTTTTGTAGTTTTATAGGATTGTGCCGTAATCCTGGGGAAAGATTTTTTGTAATCCACCACCAAAATATGTTACGGACCTTTTTGAAAAATGAAAGCTGATTTATAATTTTTCGTTATCCTTTGACTACCTGAATGATTCCAACATAGTATGTTGGTGACAGTTTTGGAGTGTAACTCGAACTCATCTACACCTCATATAATTTCATTCAATTTCTAGTGCAAGTTAGAAAAAAATAAAAATTAAACTCCGCAACGAACATATTTCCATACGAACATATTTCAGCGGGTTTATAATGCTTTCTAATGGTTTTATTCATTCTGTTTACAATGCGCTTGAGATTTCTTATCAAACTTCTACGATTTACTGCCATACTAGATCTGGAGCATACTAAGCAAATTTCACCGGAAAAGTCAGACTAGAAAACTTTAGGAACATCCAAAAGGCATTAAATTGGTAGGAGTTACCTTTGTCTCCAACTTCAAGGAGCGCCATAACAGCATATCATAGCGTAACATATCACCTCAAGAGAAATATTTCAGGTATACAAAAATGTTGAAACTATATTCAGTATATTTCTTTTATCTGGGCTTGCAGATTTTTTGAAAATATATCAGGCGTTAACACGTCAACAATAGATCAGGCAACAGTATGGTTATTGTTTTTAATAAATTTCAAAGAACTTCAGTTTGGTACGAAGTAAATGAATAGACATACACAAAATATGAAATACAAAATTTGTCTTTTTAATTTAATGCATATAACATGATCTTCATATATTTTAAACATTTGGAGTGATATGTTCGGCTAAGATCGTTCTTACTGTAATAATCTATGTAAATTACCTAAAATCAAAATTTGATGCTTTTATTGACGTTTCCTTGTGCGAAACAAATAACATAGTAACGAAATAAATGTATTTTATACTGTTGTAAAACCCTGGACTATCACATCGAATTTTACACTAGTCTATAGTTAGTTGGATTATAGACACTCGTTTATCTCGAACTATTGATACACGGACGTAGAGTATAAAATGCCATCAAATGATTTATTTATTATAGTGTATATAACCTATGAACAGTATATAAATCAGCGGCTGTTGTATCAGAATACTATATAGCTGAATTAGGACGGGATAACTAATTGACTAGTCATTTAGAGTCAATATGGTTGAAAACATACATACTGTAAATTTTGCGTCAATGATCCTCTATATATGAATTTTAACTTCCACTTACATCTTTTTAAGTCACCATGTTATGATGAACATCTTCAAATCATATTCAGTTGAACATCACAAAAGTGTAACATCTAAGCTAAGTGTCCGCACATTTACAGGTTTTTGTTGGTGGATCTCCTTTAATAAAATTTGGGAAGCGTGTGCTATCGGCAATTTCCTCTTATCGGGTATGTATGCTAATTTGTTTTATCTATTTCTTTTAATTGTAACTTGTTGAAAAGTTAAAATAGTCCAGAAATTTAGTAAATTAACGTCCCAAGAACTGTATACCAAAATAAAGTTCAGAAAAAAGGTAACCCAACCTAGTTTAATTTTGGAGAGATGGTACGTTTAACTTTTGCATTTATAAACACCCTATACAGACGGTGAACACAATTGAAAAAATTTAAACAAGAGAAAGATACTGATATGAGATTTATTTTGGAGTATACCACTCTATTTGCAAAACATACGAGCTGCCGAAGTTAAGAGCTTTTTTATATCCTATTTTATAGCTATAGGTAGGGATATAAGCCTAATAGTATGCTATAAAAAACTTGCCTTTAATTATTTTGAATAACTTTCTTAGATATATTTTATAATTATGGAGCTATCCACCGACTACACATTAAAAACTCACCCTGTAGATAGTCTGCGTGAGTATTAGGCTGCTAGAAAAACCGTCGTTGATATTTGATATCAGAATTTGCATATACGGCCTACAAGAATGTCTATAGAGATTGCAATAGATGCATCAGAAGAATTAAATATTGATATACAATATTTTTGCTAATAGCAGAGACTCTCCTTCTGAATTGTGCAAAATCACACAGCCACAGCTCATGAAGGTCAAAGTTAGATTACGTCAGCTTCAAAATTCGTAAGGATGGAAGTAAAATCATTTGTTTTGTCTGGATTCTTAAGTAAAATCAATAAGTATGGTTGTTACGAGCATGAATATGGTCTCGTTTTTATTGATCAAGATTTCCTGTAATCTATTTGGTCCATAGTAAGAGCGTACATTTTGCACCGGGATCTTGCACTATATTAGAATAGCAAGAAGAAAGCGGTTTTGAGAGAATTTATAGTGGTTATCACACTTCCTTCCTATTTAAATCCAGTCTTCCTATCATTTCTGTGGACGATGCTCAGCTTGGTTGAATCAATAAGTTATAGCATAATTAGGTCACATTATAAAAAAAAATTGGGAGCCTTGCCAACACGAAGTGATAGTGGAGCATAGGAAAATGCTTGTGTAATACATAGAAATTGTATTTGACAGAAATCCTGAAAGATTATATGTTAACGAGAAATTCAATACAAAGTTTATATCTAATGCAAATAAAATGGCTATTATTGATAATCAAACAAATTAAAAGCTGTTTATTGTAAAAAGTTGTGTTTATTTTTCCTAATTTTCCATATCCCTTTATAGTAGAGACTTTTTGGTGCAACGAAAACAAAATGAATCCATTACGTTATTTTTCATAGCGACGCAAACAAAGACGGTTGGATGAAGAAGATCTTTATGACCACTAGAGGGAATCATGCTAATCTGATAGTAGACTTTTTTTTATATATATGTATATATATATATCGAAGCAGCCGAGCAGGCAGAAGCCTAAATGCCGGAACACCGCGGCTGCTATGATGATCCCAAAGAAATTTTATTAATACGATTTTTGAACTACCTAAGGTTAATAGAACTGGGAAAAGCTTCCTCTTATAGATTGTTCCACAATCTCGACACCCTCGGGACAAAGGAGCGGTCGTATCGGCCGGTTCTGGATGTACGAAGTTCGAGACGGTTAGGATGGGACTCCAAAGTCAGGCGGGTCTGTCTAGCAGGCACATCGCGCGACAGTATCATGGAAGAGAGCTCTGAGGAGCAAAGCCCGTTGGTGTAACGGTAGAAAAAAGCTAGATCGCCGACAGCCCACCGGTGCGAAAGAGTCCCGAGACTGTCTGTTAGAGAAGAGTCATCGATCAGTCGGACCGCCCTCCTCTGCACAGCATCGAGCATGGGTACTGTAGTCGGGGCGGCAGCACCCCAAATGTGTGAGCAATACTCGAGGCTAGGCCTTATCTGGGCCTTGTATACAGTGAGAAGGTCATGCGGAGAAAAGTACTTCTTAGCCCTAAACAAATAGCCTAGCTTTTTCCCAGCAGCTGCAGCTATTGACGAGATGTGTTCGTGCCAGATCAGGTCCTCGGTGATCTGGACTCCGACCAGCCGAAATGAATAGCTCTTTGGCAGAACTCGACCATCCATCGAAATCGGGTGAGCGCAGGGACGCTTTTTTTTAGTCAAAGTACAGTACTGCGTTTTGGAAGCATTGAACTGTACAAGATTGTTGCGTCCCCAAGCAGTGATAGCTTCCAGGTCTCTTGTCAGAGATGAAGTCATCGCTAGTCTTGTAGAGTGTAGAGTGCTGTCATCAGCGAAGCTGTGGATTGGCTTGATCGTGCAGGAAAGGAGGTCGTTGATATGTAAGAGAAACAGTGTCGGAGCCAAGACCGATCCCTGGGGAACACCCGCGTTGACGTTGTGGGATGAAGAGGACAACCCGTCAATTACGACGGATATCTTGCGGCCAGGGATAGAGTCAGCCAGCCATCTGCAAAGCTTTTCTGGGAGGCCATAGGATGGAAGTTTGCTTAAGAGGGCAGAGTGCCACAGCTGATCGAACGCTTTCGTGATGTCAAGAGCAACGACATGAGCCTCACAATAAGACTGGATGAGTTTACTCCACAATTGAGTGACGTAAGCTAGGAGGTCCCCTGTGGATCGTTGGTGCCGGAAACCATACTGCCTGTCGCTAATCAAGCCGTGACGCTCGAGGTAGTCCAGAAGCTCGCGATTTATACACCTCTCCATCACCTTACTTATAACAGAAAGCAGAGTTATAGGCCTGTAGTTGTAAGGGTGCCTAACTTTTATATCGTGCTGGTTTTTGACATTGCGTACCGCTGCTTTATATTTGTTTCTGGACTCAACGTCGGCTTGTCTGTTCTCTACAGTGGGGTTTTGTAAGGAGGTTCTGTGTGCCTTGCTCTTCTGCTGGCGAGCAGCGTCACACGATTTGTTAAACCAGCCGTTGGGCCCTGGGCTAGGCACTTTCACTGTGTGAGGGATGTATTCCTCCAGTCCGACGTGGATAATTTCGGTTATCGAAGAACAGACAGCCTGAACCCCTCCCAGTCGGCATTTCCGTAATGAAGAGTTTTGCGGCCTGTACGAGTTTCTGCTGCCACAGCGGGTTCTGACCGAAACCTAACCTCCACAACACCGTGGTCTGAGTTACCCAGGGGGGACAGGACAGCAGTGCTGTAAGGGACAGGATGCGTGGTCAGAAAGAGATCCAGCAGGCTACTGGCGTGTGACGGGAAAAAAGTAGGGCTCGTCACCAGCTGAGTCAGCCCTTGAGTAAGAGCGAACGCTTCGACTGCACGACCTGCTGCGTCGGTCTTGTTTGAGCCCGACCAAAGCTCATTATGGGCATTGAAATCACGGAGAAGAACTACCTCTGAAGCGGGATGATTGATGTTCGGGAAGTCGATCTGGACGGCGAGGTATTCGAGTAGGTCATCGCAATTATGGTCCGAGGGAGAGCGATAAAGGCAGCAAATAAATTTGGGTGATGTTTTGGAGTTGAGGCGAAGCCACAGAATGTCCTTCCGGTCTGATTCTAAAGAAACATCTCTCGAGCAAGGAAGACTGCTGCGGACAAAAGCCACAAATCCCCCGTTATTTCTCAGATTGGAGTGCACCTCGTAGTTTGGGAAGTTAAGATGGTTAATCGGTGCAGACCCTGAGATTTTTGTCTCCGCCAAGAAAAGCACGGCGGAACGATTGGATTGCAGGTAGTGATGAACAGCATCAATGTTGCTGTTAATCCCGCAGATGTTCGAAAAACAAATTTTATCTTCGATGTTGTTCCCTCGAGCCCACCATCCACCCGGACATTCCGAGAGTGGAGTGAGTTTACGTCCGGAGTTCTTAGTCCTTGAGGGATCCATCTTCATTAATTTCTTTGTTTTGGACGATAACCGACTGCATAGCTTATGTGTAGAAACATGCGGACATTTATAAGACACCCTGGGAAAGGCTAGCGGGTGGTACTGCCTCGGTCGACTGGTCCTTGTCTACCACCTTCTTCTTACGTGTTAGTGATGTTAAATAGACCTAAAGTGGCCCGTTGGCGGACTTGTACCGCCACCCGGCAATCGGTACTGAGGTATTCCTTAACGCGTGGACAATCACTTGAACGGGAAAAAGTTGTATACTGGATACAACAACTTCCGGAACAAGCATTTGTCACGGCCCCACTCAGTAGGGTTGACTATTGACAATCATGATCAAAATTTCAAATTATATAAAATATAAAACTTTTTCATGAAATTGCTTCAGTGATATATCTGTTATGAATTCTCTAAGCCCGTCAGGAAACGAATAGGTTTGAACTCATAGAATCAAAGAACGACAGATAATCGCAAATTAGCTGAACTAGAATAAAAAGCTACCTTGAGGACAATTTTAATCGATTTGGTTTCTTGCATTTATATTTATTTGGGATTTAAAGCTCATATTCCCATTGTATTTCAACCAATGTGCTTTTATAACTTGAAATTATTTTAATGACCTCTTCTAGCTGTACGAATCCCGGCAATAGCGCTGAATGAGGAAAAAATAACGGTACGAATAAGATTTCCCTTATCCTTGGTAAATACCAGGGTTTCTTATTTCAATAACGGAGCACGAAGAATCGTGACGCTACTGTGCAAAATTAGCTCAGAATGATGAAAATTATATAACAAAGGGAAAATATCAGTAAAAACTCCCAAGTGTTGCCATATAAATATTGACGCCATATTGACCCCCCCCCCACTTACTATACAGCTACCACTTACGAGCTTCTATGTCCGCCACTGGCCACTGATCGTAATGTATCATTTGTCATTTGGTTACATGTCAAAGTTGCAATAATTTCTATAATTATTTTTTATCACATACTTGGATAGCCCGCTTTCAAAGGTCATCTTTTTTTAAGTTTACACGAATATAACACCTTGATAATATTTCGCTTGTGCGGGGTCCTTATTAATTCCTACTTTTTGTTACTATTCTTTTTTTTGTTATTTCTTTCCTACATGTTATGTAAAAACCCAAGTACTATCATTGACTAACGTATATTCTACCCGAAGGAAGCCAGCTATATACTGTCTGGTGGCGTTTAAAAAGGGATATGAAAGGTACTAGCACCATCTATGAGTCAGTTGACATAACACACATAGAACGTTGAATTTATAAATTTACTTTAGTTTGTTTGATTCCGCTACTGTCTCAAGTTTGTGGCACCAAAAAGGGATTGAAGATCCGAGCGCCATGCACGAGGCAGCAGCAGAACCAAATACTCTAACCCTTTCCAAACAAGGTAGAATTGAAAAGTTCATTTTTGTGTTCTGCTCTTATCTCATAGACGACCCTAACACCTTTCAGATCCCTTTTGGACGCTAGTATACAATATATGGGTGCCTATCTTCAGGTAGAATATGTGAACCAGAGGTAGGACTTCTAAAAAAAATACAAGTTTTGTATCTTGAAAACGAAGCATTACTGGACATTTGTATTTTTTCTTAAAAACACCTCTGGCCAAGTACGTTATTAACACCCTTTGATATTTTTAATATGCATTCAGATCCTACTTTAGTAGATGTTGATATTTTATTAAAATAAATAACAAATTAATACTTCATTATGTGATCGATACGTTAATCATATAAATATAGCACACGTATGTATAAAACGTTTAATTTTTTTCTGGATATCCATATGTTCCCAGTAAACAAAATTTTGAGATTCTCTTTCTGTGTTATCGATAGTTTCGCTACCTATTAATAAGTAGCCCACCCTCTACAGATACAGCGGCCCATTACAGGGACCATCCGAAAAGTTTATTCCGCCATCTAGCGGTAACTGTTATAAGTATGTTGCAGTATGCTTGATGCTGTGCAGTGTTCCTTGCAAGCTAATACGACAGTTCAGCTATTGGTGCATAGGTGGCAGGATCTTACTAATAATTGCATTTAGTCCAATCATTTGATAAGCTTAGCTGGGAGATCTGAGGAAGTTTCACACATTTTGGTATTTTTGGTGTCCATCTCTTCAGCGGTGTCCAAGGGAGGCATTTTCACCAATAGTGATTTCAGACTCGTGTTCAGAAGGAGGAAAATATATGCAAGAGGCTTATTGAGCCCCCAGCAGCCAGCACACACCACTTTTAATTTTTTCTGGTCCTGTGATATGATTTTTATCATTATTTTCTAAAATTTGTTCATTGACCACCGTAACGGAAGTCCCGAGTTCTAACTAACTTC